CCTCCAACAAAACAAGTTTCAATGAACCCTGAACCCCAAACTGGCCCCAAACCCCCACCCTTGCACCTGAAACCAAACTCCTAAAACTTCCGACCGAAACCCCAAACCCCCCCCCCCCCGCCCCCCACAAACTTGGCGTTCAGAGACTCCGCCTGGTCGTCTTGTTCGCACTTTCCAGCCAAGCATGGCCGCCGACCTGGCCAGCGGTTTTGATCCGGATGGATTCCGTGCTTGGTAGCGTAGAAGAGATGAGCCCTACACACCACAACTCTCAACACCCTGCAGCGCAAACTCCGTAACCCCAAAACCTGTGAAGCAAAACTCATGCTTGAAACGAAAGCATGGGCTTGCGGGGGAGATCTTTCAAGGTTGGATGTTCGGGGTTGATAGATGTCCAAGCCCTAGACTACCCCAAAGCCCATGCACCCAAATCAAGTCCCTCCCGGCCTTGTCATACCGGTCGAAGATGGTGAAGTCGGTTTGCTTGTCCTTGGCCCCACAAAAACCCCCAGACTCTCCAGGCCGAAAGGCGCAACACGCCCACGCGGATTCATCGCCTTCGACCCTGAACTAGGACTTAAGACCTTCTGGTCTTGCAGGATACCTCAAAAAAGGAGCCCCACTACCCGAAAGCCCCAAGACCCCACCGCCGTTCGGTCAAACTGTCTGCCGGTGTTGGGGTTCTAGTGTTCAGAGGGATGGAAGTTTGCAGGCGTGGCACTGGATTTGAGGACCACAATCACACGCCCTGAGCCGAAAACCCTGACTACGCTAAACCCTAAACAGCCACCTCTCCCCTTGGGGCACGGGCTCTGAGGAGGTACAGCGCCGTCTTGAGGCCATTGTAGCCAGCCTGGGCGCAAGGTGACGTCCTGTCTTTGCGTACCCTTGAGCTGAGGCCCGATCTTGATCTTGAAGCCTGTTTCCGACATGGTACCAGGGGTGTGGGGAAGCACACCCTCCCTAAACCCTAAACCCTGCATAAACCCCAACCCCACAAGCCACAACCAAACCCCCAAACCGCCCAAACCCGATGCAAGCCCTGAACCCCAACTCCTAAACCCTCCAAGGCGGCAGCAGTCGAGCCAGGTTTGGGTTCAGGGTGTCGAGGGCTTCGGGAGTTTAGGGAGTTTAGGGTTTGCCTCACCGCCGATGCTGGGAGACCCCACACCGATGATGGCGTAGGGATGCGGGTACTTGTGGTTGGGAGGCTTGAAGCTCGTGATTCCTGGCAGTGGGGCGGGGGGGGAGGGGGGTTTAGGGTTTACAACAGAGGGTGAATGCCTGAAACACGAGACCCAAGACCACCAAAAGTGAGGAGGACACGCTGTTCCTCCTAGCTTCTTGCCCTCTGAATAAAGCCCTATATAAGCAACCAACACCCTAAAAGCCCCAACGCCAAAACTGAAACAAGCCTTCAAGCCCTTTTCTCTTTTGGGAGTTCCGGGCCAATGGCGGGGAGCTAACATCCTGAAGCCTAAACCAGAGGTGGGGGAGGGGTTGAGGATGAAGGGGTTCAAAAGTCTCGAGTCTCGAACAGAACTGGCTCGACCACCCCTTTAGCCAAACCCAAACCAAACCCCATCCAGAGCCCTATTCCCGGTCTCCTCGCACCAGCATCTTCTTCAGCACCTTCGGGAGAGGTCTTGGAGGGCTGAGGGTTTCGTGTTTGGGGTTGTAGGGTTCACGATTCCCTTACATTTGGTGAAGGAGGCTTTCTGAGCGTACACTTGGACGAGGTTCTTCTCTTTCCTTGTGCTATTAGCAGAGTTGGGTTTAGGAAGCTGCTTGGGGTTTCAGGGCCGAGGCTCAAGGGCTTAGATTCCCTTCAAGATTTGGGCCTTTAGTTGGAATATTGGTTGTAATTCGGCCGGCTCTATCTGTGAGCCGGCCCACTCTGTGACGTGGTTTCTGATAAGATGGCGACTTTACATGGCGCTTTAAAGGTTTAAAAGGTCTGTTGTCTGGAGGCTTGTCGGGTTTTTTGTTTTTGCTCCTTCGGGCTTAGGGGTCACGGGACGTCCGCGGGGCACTCTCGCGCGCAGCACCTCGATGCCCCCAACAGCTTGGATTCAGCATTTGCATGCTGTAGCTTTCTTGCCATGCAAAGACATAGCAGAGAAGCATCTACTTCATAAGACATGCACAGCTCTTAGAGAGCAGATCTTGAGTTGCAGGGGCACATTTTGACGTGCAGAAACAACGAAACTGCTGCAGGTGCCTTCGTATCTCGGCACATCTTGGAGCCCCGAAGCTCTACATCCAAGGGTCCAAGCGAGGCATGACTCGCAGTTTCTAGAACAAGGGTTTTGCAAATGGGATCTGCCTAGGGTTCCCTCTATGACCTTTGTCATACCCATGCCTGAATCTCATAACCAGTCAAACTTTGCCTGAATCTCATGGGTTTGGGTTTGGGTCTTGATTAGACCCAGTGCGCCTGGTCCGACTCCTGCAACTTCTTGTATGTACAACCTGCGCAGGACTTACGCTCTATAGTCTATAGCTCAGGGTAGGAGTAGCTGAGTAGCACCTGTCTGAGTCCACCTCCCTCAGTGGACAGGTTCTGGGCTGCTGTAGCGGACCTTGCTTCACGACGAAGCTGATGGTGTCAGGCTCCAGGAACCCCAACTTCGCCGACCTCAGGTCAGGTGCAGCTCTTGTGGACCTCACTGGGTCAAAACTTGAGAAACAGCGAGGAGGGAGGCTGGAGTTTTGGGGAGTAAGTACTCAGACCGAAGCCCTAGACCTGAATGCTGCGCGACCCTGCTGCAGCTTGACCACCCGAGGTGTACTGTCGAGTTCTTACAAGGAAAGTAAAGTCGCGATGGCTCCCCCTAGCCTGCCTTGAAGCTTGGGTTGCCGAGTCAGCTTCTAAAAATGGATGGCTTTCTTGGGTCCGACGAACCTAAAACCTCTCTTAGAACCCAGGAAACACCTGGATTGGGGGGGGCGGGGGGGGTTCTCAACATAGGGTGTATATAGGGTGTGTTCTTCGGGTTGGTTTCAGCGCACACTGTACGGTTCCTAGCCACAGGGTACCAAGCCTGTGCCGAGGACCTCAACAAGTACAATCTGAAGCCTTAACCCTCAAGCCCGAAGCCCCCAAACGCCCAAACTCCCGAAACCCTCAACTACCCACAGCCTTAGAAACCTGAACCGCGAACCCCAAAACTCGAAACTCCAAACCCTAAGCCAGAAACCCCTACATAACCATAAATTCCAAACCTTGAACCCACACAGCAGTTGGCCCAAGTTCCACGCAAGACGGTCTTGAGGTCCTCGAGCAACCCAGGTTAGACTAGAAGTAGTGGCTCTGCGCCATTTTAGGGTTTTGTGGAGGTGGGCTTGGCCAGACTTGAAAGGCTTGGAAGCCTGGGTGGGGGGGGGGGGGGGCATGCCTTGGTGACTTACTCACAGCCGGGAGCTAAGGGGGTTTAGAGACTAAGGCCGCTGAACCCGAAAATCTCGGACGAGCCCCCGTCCTGGACCTTGGTGCAGGTCTGTACCGGGATGCTGAAGGCCTCGTCCGTGCCCTTGGGAACGCCCGCGCCCGGGAACGACTCCCGAGTGGGTCTGTTTCCCTCGAGTAGTTATAGGTTCCTTCTGGTTTGAGGCTACCAAAACAAGGTCCAAACTTACATCAACCGCCGCTTCGTGCTCTTGGACTCCTCAAGCCCGACAGCCCCAGCCCGCAGACATCAACAACATGAGGTTTGGGATCTAAGGTTCAAAGCCTGAGCATCCAGACTAAGAGCCAGCCATAACAATAATCATGTTGATCATGATCCTCTGCTTCCTCATCACCCTAAACCCTAAACCCTAGACTCTAAACCTAAACACCAAACCCCAAACCCTAAACTCTAAACCCTAAACCTACACCCCAAACCCCAAAACCTAAACCCGGGGGCGCGGCCGGGATGGACAGCGTGACGTCGATGTGGGTGGTGCTGCATAAGAGCCCAGCCTTCGGCCCCGTCACCGAGAAGTCCCTCAGCTCAGGGGGGCTCTGGGGGTTCTTGGGGGTGTGGGGGTCTTAGGGTTTAGGGTTTAGGGCTTAGGGTTTAGGGTTTAGGGTCTTAGGGGCTTAGGGGCTGAGGGTTCGGTTTTTGAGGATTTAGGCTTCAGCTGACGAACGGACTTCCGAATCGATTGGCCCTGTGGTTATGGATGCAATAAGCTTCCGGTTACCAATCCCAACACCCCAAGAACCCTTAACCCCTCGACCCCTGCTCACATCCCAATCGCAAGGCCAAGCAGCTGCTCCCCTTTCCACGGCACGAGCTCCATGGCTCCAGGGCAAAGAAGGGCAGAGTTTTCCCCCAACGGAAGAGCGAAAGTTGGTTTGGGGTTCGTAGGGCTTCCGCAGCTTTGGAAGGTCTGGGCTTACCAGGTTCTTTCGCGGAAGGTGGGTTTTAAGGGTGGATCATGGGGTTGGGCTTGGGGGGAGGGGGAGTTGATGGCTTTTGCACACAAGGCGTTTATAGTTGCTTGGGAGGGGCCGGGGGGGGTAGTTCTTTGGTTTAGGGCTTGCATGGGGGTTCGAAACCTTGGGCCATGGAGCCTGGTTTTCCCGGTGGCCCATCGCTCGCACAGGCAGAGCTGTGAGCCGAACCCAAACGCGCTTCAGGGTTTGTGGTTTAGGGTTTAAGGGTTCAGGGTTTAGGGTTTAGGGTTTTGGGCCGCTGTGGTCCAGAAACTAGTGTTCGTGGTGTTTGGACGTTTTGAGGAGTAGGGCTCTGTGCTTCAGATGTCGGGTCGGGTTTGGGTCCCTTATTTCCCCCCCCCCCCCTAAACCTACCCCCCCTTAAACCCCCCTACCTTATTACCCCCTTAGTACCCCCCCTTATGCCAGAGCTTCGGCTTTCTGGTTACCTCAACAATATATATTCGGGCATAAGGTTGGGATGTTCGACTTGTAGTCCTTGATAGCATCCATCTAAACTTCAGGTGTGGGGTTGAGGCATGCTGCATGGTCCCCTCAACACAGCAGGGTGCCCCGCCGTCGCTCAACGTGGTAGCCCCGCTGATGGGCGTATCTTGTGACGACATCCTGCACCAGCGCGGAACCTACAATCTAGAATGAGCCCTACATCCGAAGATCTTCAGCCCAGAAGCCTGAGAGCCCCAAAACCCCAAATCCCCAGAACCCCAAACCCAAAAGAAATCATCAGCCTCTAGTGCAGAGGCAGCAGCATAAGCTTCAGGAAAGTTTGGGGCCTTACTGTCGGAAGATTGTCTGCAAGCTGCATTGGGTTCAGGGGTTGGGGTTTGGGGGATGTCCAAAGTCCTTGATGGTGCCGGCCAGGATGTGGCCGTAGTGGGGCAGGCCCGTCGCGAAGGGCGGGCCATCGTAGAAGTTGTACGCGGGCCTGGTTGCTAAAACGAGGTTCGGTGTGGGGGGGGGGGGGGTTCAGGGTTTAGCAGGCTCTGGCAGCCAACAAGGCACAGAACGAAAATGCATGTTTCATGCCAAAAGAAGCTCTGTATGCGGTGCCCTGCCTGAGGCCCCACACACTGTTCTTAGTCGGCAATCAGAACAGGTCAGAGTTAGAATCATCGGCCCAACAAACAACATCAACCAGGCCCAGACTATGCTGAAACCCTTAAACCCTGAAACCCTTAAACCTTGAAATCCTGAAACCCGTGAAGCCTAACAAAACCCTTGCAAACCCATTAAAAACCCCTTAAGAACCCTTCAAAACCCCAAACTTCCCAAACCTCCTAGGCTTCCTAGGCTTCCGAAACCCCACATCCCACCTCTTGGCTTCCCTGTAGCCCTAAACCCTAAACCCTAAACCCTAAACCCTAAACCCTAAACCCTAAACCCTAAACCCTAAACCCTCACGTCGACGAGTCTGGGTCTCCCGACTTGCCCTGCGACTGTCTCAAGGACTCTCGGAAGGCATCGATGTCCCGCCAGTACCTCTATAAGGGTCTCCGGGGGGTTTTAAAGGGCTTGTAAGGGTTCTTTGTAGGTTGGCCCGGGTTGTTTAGAAGGCTCAGGGCCCCACAGGTGGGGTTTAGGGTTTAGTCTTTAGGGTTTAGGGTTGCAAAACCGCAAGAAGAACCCAGGAAGCTTACTTTCAGTTGAGCGCGACACCCTCGACCCTCAACTGCTCCGCATGACCTGAAGCTTCAGACGTCTGACCGTTGGTTCCTAAACCCCAATCTCCACACCCTAAACACTAATTTTGGACCCTGCTTGCCGGTCTAGAGCTTTAAAAAGGAGCCACTTCCCCCGGGGACAGTGGCCGGTAGTTCACACACCCCCTACATTAAGAGAAATGCCAAAAAACAAAAAACGGAAAGTTCGAAACAAGCTTACAAGCAAGAGAACAAATCGATGACCAAGTTCGTCCCGAAAGCCAACCCCCGGAAGATGATGCTCAAGATTTTGGCTCCTCGACCCTGAGGCTCCGGTCCCCGAGTGGGCCGGGCACAGACTCGTTCAGAGGCTTCATGAGGGTTAGGGTTTAGGGTTTAGGGTTTAGGGTTTAGGGTTTAGGGTTTAGGGTTTAGGGTTTAGGGTTTAGGGTTTAGGGTTTAGGGTTTAGGGTCAGGGTTCGATTACTTACGGTTTAGGTTTACAGTTCCCTGAGCTCGAGGCATCTTTCAGGTTCGGTTTCAGGGCTCACTTGATGATCTTCTCCTCTTCCGTCGGGAAGTGTGGCTTCTCAAGGGTGGCCTGCACGACTCTACTCTCAACCCGGAGGCTCACGTCCTAAACCCTGAATCCCAAACCCTAAACCCTAAACCCTAAACCCTAGACCCTAAACCCTAAACCCTAAACCACACAAAAGGGCCGGCCATGAGGCTTGCGGGCTTTCACGGCACCATTGTCAGACACTTAAGCACATCAAAGCCCTTCCGAGCGACACAAACTAGAGGTATGCAGATCCCGCGTGCCCCACGCTAGCAGCATCCATGGATAATGACGATGCGCGCAAGAGACACAGCTGCGCTGTGCTGTGTTGCTTGTAACATGCTGCCTGTCTCGAATCTTGCGCTTCGATGTCGTATGTATTCAAGGTCATTCTGGCTGTTCCGACAAACACAAGTAATGCCAGAGTTGATGACTCGGCGTGCACTTAAGTGAACTGTTTGCCCTAAGCCCCAAACTCTCTTGACTTCAAAGCAAATTCCCAAACCAGAGACTCTCAAACAGGGTCTTGCGCCGGTCCGATTTCGACCTCCGACTGCCCAAACAAGCCAGGCCCTCGAAAGCAACCAAGAAACCCTCATCTTCCATCGACGCATTGCAAGACCCGCACCTCGAACGTGTGCTCACCCGACATCTCCCGGAAGTACCTCTGTCCAGGCTGCTTTGTTTGTTCAGTGATATCGGAGAAGTTTTGGAACCCCCAAACAACGAGCGTTGATGGCCAATTACCAGGATTCGGGTAGTGGCCCCACTAAATCGATCCTTTCAACCTCAGGAACAACACGTTTTGGATCTGGATGCGCTGGCTTGTCTTCAAGCCGGCTTAGGGTTTGGTGATGCGGGGTGTGCCAAGCGAAAGTGTTCGGAACGCGGTGGGGTTTCGGTGCTGTGCGAATTAAGCGTACTGGGTTCTGGGATTGCTCACTGTCAACCCGCTGTCCAACCCTTGTCGTAGACAGGACATATCTTGAGAATCTACAAAACAGCGGACCCATACCTCTCAACCCTGACCCCGGACGCCCTCTGCGCGGATTGATCGCCTTCGTACTGGCGACCTAGGCTCTGCAGCCTGACCGAACACCCCAAAAGCTGTGCAAGCTGCAAACTCAAAAAACCCAGGACCCTAAATCCAGAAACCGAGACCTCCAAGAAGTGCAAGCCATGTCGAACTATTGTTGGATGCGGCACAAGAAAAGTCGACCGGCAATGTGGAACAACAAGCGCCTCAATCCTGCACCCAGTCTGCGGCGCACTCGCGGGGCAACGGCTGAGTCGCACGAGGCCGCTTTTGAATGCAGAGCCCTGTGGCGACAGGGGAGGGTGCAGTCTGAACAAGGAAAGGCATTCAAGGATACCTTGTTTAAACCCTTAAACAAAACCCCAAACCGCCCTAATATAGGGGCCTTAATGATGACAATAGGGTTTTGGTGGTTCCCGAGCCCTTCATGAACCTTAAGGCTGCCAAACCCCCCTTCAGGACTGTGCCCCAAAGATACAGGGACAGGCATATAGGCGTGTGGCCTGAGGGCTCAGGTTTCTGTGGTTTTGGGGCCTGAGGGGTGTGGATTTAGGAGTTTTGGGTGTGGAATGTAAACTATTACAACCCCTGAACCCCCTGAACCCCTAAACTCTAAACCTGAAACCCCCTGAACCCCTAAGCTCCAAACCTTAAACTCCCTAAACCTTAAGCTCCCTAAACCTTAAACCCTAAACCCTAGGCCCTAAACCATAAACCCTAAACTCCAAACCCTGAACTCCCTAAACCCTTCGACCCTCGAACCTCGGTGGCCTGGTACCAGGTTGGCTTTCCGCCAGGCGTTGCGAAGGCACGGCCCGCCAGAACGCAGGACACTTTGGTGCCAAGCCGTCAGGGCCTTGGGGTTTAGGGTTTAGGGTTTAGGGCTTAGGGTTTAGGGTTTAGGGTTTAGGGTTAAGGGTTAAGGGCTTGGGGATTTCAGGTTGGAGTTACTTGGGGTTGCTTAGGGTTGCTTAGGGTTCAGAGGGTTTTTGTAGGGTTTCTAGGATTTATGGGGTTTATAGGGTTTAGAGGGTTGGGGCTGCTTAGGCTTGCTTCGGGTTCAGAGGGTTGATAGGGTTGATTAGGGTGTATGGGTTGACAGAGTTGGTAGGGTTTATAGGGTTGATCGGGTGTATAGGGCTTTTAGGTTTAATAGGGTTTATAGAGTTTATAGGCTTATAGGGTTTACGGGGGCTTACAGTGTTTATGGGGGCTCGGGGTGGCGTTGGGAGGTTGCGGTGTGGCGAAGCCCAACCTCGGCGCACTGAACAAGGTCCCTGCCGTGCAAACCCTAAATCGCCTCAACGCAAAGTCCCAAACAAAGCCCAGAAGTACAGGCACCGACTGATCCCAAACTAAGCCTCCGAGACATAAACACTGAGGCCTCAAGAAGCAAAGCCACAACCCCGCACCAACCCGAGTTAAAACCTTTGATTGCATTGAGTTGGCAAGCATACAGGGCAGGGTACAGGGCATCGAGGATTTGACCTGTTCAGGGCCACTTTTTCCCCGGAAATCCCTGCTTCCCTTCTTCTCTCTGGTCTCTGAGGAGGCGGCCGTGGATGCGAAGCGCGGGCTTCCGCTGGCCAGCAGCTCCGATGACCCCCAGAGGCTTCACTAAGGCTTGTGAGTTGCTCTTCAGGAGGGGGAGCCCTAAACCCCGAAACCCTAAAGCCACCCATGAGCCCTCTGAACCCTAGCAGCCACAAGAACCCTGGAAGCCCTGTACTGAGGGTGACAAAGTGGGAAACGCTGGAGTGCTGCTGGGACTTGCACTGAAAGGCCAAAACTCCCACAACGGCGATCGAGGGCATGCGGTTTGGCGCTTCGGGTTTTGGGATAAGGGGTTCAAGAGTTCAAGAGTTCAAGGCCTGGGGCTTGGGTGTTTAGGCGGTTGAGGCTACAGAGGATGAGTGCTTGGGGTAGGGCTTCGGGCTTAGGGAGGGCTGACCCGAACCTGGAAGCTAGGACTCTCAACCCCTATATAAGCCCAACACCGAGAGACTCTGAAGCAAATGAAAGGTCTAAAGTTACAGATTCTCGCTGCTGTTGAAAACCAACTGGAGCAATCTCTGTCACATCTCGCTACGCATCCCTATCACCCGCTTACTGTTTGTAGTCTTCACGGCGCAGCGTGCAGCTTCTTTACAAGAAGAGCTCGGCAGGCAGTCCAGGAAGCAGAGGCAGCTGATGCTCGAGCTGAATAGAGCTCACGGAGTTTAGGGTTTAGGGTTTTGGGTTTATAGGTTATAGGGTTTAGGGTTTAGGGTTGAGGGTTGAGGGTTGAGGTGGTTTAGCAAATGCCCTGGTAGGTACTTGCATCAAAACAATGCAACTTGCGCGTGCTCTTGTCGCACTGCGCGCTGAATTTCAGACTGCGAGTTGTTGTACCAGGCAGGATTCAGGTTCCAAGCGAACGGACACGTCAACTTGCTGTCTGCCTCAGGCCCCAGCACGATGCCCGCCTTTACAACATTTCCGGGTTCCACGAAGTAGGCGTAGACGCCGAGGCCCACGCCTATGTGGCTACGAGCATTGATTCGGTAGCCGGCCACGCCGTTCTCTCCGTAATCTGGCGTGTGATCCCATGCTTGGCGGGCGTAGGAGTCCATCTCACTCTGATAAAAGAAGGACATGCCTTGCTCCCCATTCCAGACCGCCAAATCCTTTTGGCAATGTTCAGAGAAGAGTCCGTATGAGACCACATGGCCTCCGTTCACGACTACGCCGTGGTTGCAGTATCTTTCTACACAGGTGCCGCAGCCGTTCTGGCAACAGTCAGCCCTCCAAGCCCACACATTGTCCATGATTACATGGTTGCCGTCGACTTGGATCATGACATCTGCGGACACCACCTCGGTATCGGGACCTCCGACCCTCGCGAAGACATCGGACAGCAGCCCAGGGTTCTCTTCGTCACAGGAGTTGGGCGCCCAGTCGAGCAGGACCCGTGAAGGGACTGTGCCCGCCTGGAGCAGCAGGCCTGCGACACGGACGCCGCCAGAGGAGGGCCCCACCTGCGAAAAGGGCCAAATCAGCCCCTCAACCCCTCAAGTTGCGACCCCAAGGCCCCCTTCGAGCCCTTCAAGCTTCTTCAAAACTCAAGAGCATCCGCCTCCACCGCCGCGTTGCCGGCGGTCGGCACCAAAGTCGCCATTCCAAGCCCAAGAAGCACTTGAGTCGAGACCGTGGCGTTGAAGCCTAGGACTGGGGTTCCCTGTATGGGGGTTTACGAGTATAGGGGACCCCAAAAATCGTAGGACCCCTGAAAATAAGGACCCCAATAAGGTACCCCCCGAATATCGTAAACCCCTACGAGTATATGAAATGGCCCCCTCCTTAGCGGATCTAATGCTTTGGATGTCCCAAGAGGGACGACGATCGAGCGAAAAGTGGCCCTAGCATAACTTTACCACACATCATGATGCGCCAAGCCTGCGTCCCGAGGATATCGTGGACTTGGGGGTGGTTGAGGTTGGAGGGAGGATGGGGCCCAAGAGTTTGGGTGGCTTGGGGGAGACCGGCGTCGCGATGCTTTCTGGGCGTCTAGGGGCACCGAGGCAAGGCTTGGTTTAGGGTTTTACGGGGCCGTGAGTCTGAGGATTGAGGTCTTGGTAAGACCATCATAAGCCCTGAAACATCCGAAGCATCGAAGCCCTAAGCCACACAAGCAGTCAACTTCGAGCCACCGACACGATACTCAAAGACAGACGACATCCACAAAACTCTACATTCCGAAGCCCTTGAGCCCTCAACCCTACAAGCCACGAACCCCTTAGCTCAAACCCAAAGCCCTAAACCCCTCCAACACTGTCAAGCCAAACCCCCCACCCCCTACCCCACCAAACCCTAAACCCTAAACATCCTAAAGCCTTGACTACTCCTCAGGTTCAGGGGCCAATCCTCAGTGGTTCAGGAAGTCGGTAGATCCTTGACAACTCTTCTTCATATTTTGATGCATTTTGGGCCTTCTGGAGTTGGAAGACTTGGAGTTAAGAAATGTGGGCTTCAGAGATTTGGGGTTTGTGATTTGGGGCTCAAGATTTGGGGTTTGCGGTTTGGGGGCTTTGGAGTTCGGTTTTGCCGGCTTGGGGAGTTCAACCTCTTGACTCCATGCAAGCTACGGGAGGACTTGCCGGCATGGCAGCACTTTGCAAGCCGAGGAAAGTAAGGGCTTGGAGTTGTGGCTTTTAGGGTTTAGGGTTTAGGGTTTATAGGGTTACAAGACATGGGAACGAAACTGGTGACGCTCTGGTGACCTGCAGAGGCACAGTGTGGCTTACAGCTAGCTTCCGGAGATATGCTTAAGAGCAGCACCAGATTGGATTTGGGGCAACCGAACCCTAAGGTTGCATCCCAAGCCCCTTAAACCCTAAAACCCTATAAACGGCCCTAAACCCACACTAAACCCACATGAATCGGGATGTTCCCCCTTTACATATGATAGGGGGTACTATAATCCCAAGGAGCTGTTCATACAAGGGGGGAACATCCCAAACCTTATAAACCCTAAAGTCCCAGCATCCCAGGGGTCAGCACCACGTGGCGGCCCGCGGCGAGCTTCGCGTTGATCACAGAAGCATTCATGGTGTCGGTGGCCTTAAGTTGATGAGCAACAGTCCCCTTAAACACATAAACCTCTGGGGGGGGGGGGGGTGAGGCTTTTTCGAACTTAGATATGGGGCTTGCTTGTGTTGCAGATGTGCGCAGTTGTCAGTTGCAGAAGAGTTGTAGACATTGCGAGAGAAAAGAAGTCTTTGCCACAGCCACCCAGTGGCCACGAAGACCTCCTCGAAGCCTACGAAGTCTGCCTCGTGCCACGCTGGTCCCTTCCGCCCCCGGGCTGTCCGCGGGATTGCCAGGCTGTACTTACCACTTGGATCCACAGTGATGTAAGGCTTCTCCTTAGACCAACATCCTGATACATCCTGATGGCCAAAAACCTGTTGCGCTTCAACCTGAAGCGCTTAAACCCCAAACCCGACTGCATCAATGTGCAGATGGCCTGGAAAAAATGATGTTGACTTGCGAAAGAAGAGTCCAGCACCACCGGCGCTGCTTCCACTACCAGATTCTGTGGATGAGGAGACAGAGGACTCTCCAGCGAGTTCGTGCAGCTTGTCTCCTCGGGCGCCCCTTGCGTGCCCACGTACACAAAGTTGACAGCCCGCGGCGGGTTGTTAAAATAGCTGGTGTTCTGCACCTGATGCGCAGCGGGGGTTGAGATCTCATGTTTATTCCGTGCATCAGGGGTTAAGCATGTTTTGGGCCCCACCTTGCAGCTGCGAATGAGCCACTGCTGCTGCCGAACCAAATCCAGCGTGCCCGTGACCTTGGGGCCGCAAACAACCCAAACCAGACCCGAAACCCTGGACCCTAACCCTATGGTCACCCGTTAAAAAGAGAGATCCCGGAACCCCAAAGCCCAAACCCGAAAATTCAAAAACTCCTAAAGCCGAACCTTGAACCCACAAGACCGCAGGACCGAAGGACCCAAAGCGCTGCATTCCCAGAACCCTAAATCCTAAACTCGAAACCCCAAACCCTAAGCCCTAACCCTAAACCCGAAACCCTAAACCCTAAACCCTAAACCCTAAACCCTAAACCCTAAACCCTAAACCAAATCCACCTCCGAGTTGGCGATGAAGCCGCCGCTGCCCTTGGACGGCCCGTCTTGGCCCAGCGTCCCGAAGGCGAGGTCTCCGTGCACCTCGCGGCGCATGGGATTTTAGGGTGTTTAGGGTGTTTAGGGTGTTTAGGGTGTTTAGGGTGTTTAGGGTGTTTAGGGTTTAGGGTTTAGGGTTGAGGGTTTAGGGTTGAGGGTTTAGGGTTTAGGGTTCAGGGTTCAGGGTTTAGGGATAGGGTGTTGGGTTGGGATGTTCCCCTATATATCCCCAGTATAATGCCTATGCAGGACTGTTAACATAAGGGGAACATCCCAAGTGTTGGGGCTTAGGGTTTCGGGTGTGGGGTTTTGAGGATGCTTGGGAAATTTGCATGTTTGAGCGTAACTCCTGGATTTGGGGGGTCAAAGGGCCGTTTTGGTGAGGGGGGCCAGTCCTAGCATGCTGACCCGCCCAGGAAGGGGCCGGCCCCTTGAGTGGATCCGTCCATTGAGCCCAAGGCGGGCATACAGCAAGCTCCACACGGCCTTCGCCTTCTCCCTGTGCGGGCTGGCCAACTTAATTCTGAATAGGCCATCAAAGTGGAATTTGTGGGAAACAGGCCTGTGCCCGCGGGAAGTACCAGTACAAGTATGTGCCGAAAGCTGATGTCCCCGCACAGCATTGCCGTACGGACCTTGGCGAACCTGGTGTTGGTACGCTAAAAGCTGGGCGGTGGAGCACGCCGTGGCTCAAGCCTGGCCCTAAGGCTGCTTGTAGCTCGGTAGCGTCAGTCCGCTGCCGCGCCCACGCAGGAAGGCGTCGAGGCGCACTCCGTGTGGCACGCCGAGACAGGCAAAGGAGCTGCGTCTAGAGAAGGCCAATGCACAGAAGGCCATGGCTGGTTGGCTTATCCTTCGTAGGGTTATGACCGGCCGATTGGCCCGCGGCGAAGCGGCGATTTGTCGCTTGGGAAGACGCACACACTTCCACCACCGGGTGTCCGCCCCCCTTCTAGCCCCAAAGCTCGACCCTTGCGAACAGCTTCTTCCGAGCGGAACGGGGCCAGAGATGCATCGAGATCACCCTGTACAAGCCTTCCAGTAAGCGGACAGGGCCACTTATCACCTTTCTACGCCCCCCTCCGGCCTGACCCAGCTGGCCGCGCAGCCCGGGAGCCCCCCCCCCCCCCCACCAAAAAAAACAAAACAAAACAAACAGAAACCTAAACCGAGTCCAAGTCAAGGAACTGCACTAAGCCACAGTAGATTCTGTAGAACCCGGTAAGTCAGCCCGAGGCTCGGGGCTCCAAACAAATCTCGCAGAAAAACTCAGCTAGCCCTTTTTGGGGTCCTTTTAGGGGGGGCTGTCCATTTTAGGCGGTTTGCGAAGCTAGATTTTAGGGTCCTCATTGTCGCAAACCCCAATATAAACATATAGCTTGCTGCTCTTAAGGTGCTTCCGCGCGCCCGCGTTGCAGGCTCCAGACCACCCCCCTAGCCCTGAAATCTGAAACTCGGCAATTTTGAACCTAGATCCTACAAAGCCCTGAAGACTCGAAAGACCCCCGCGCGCCTTCACCCTCCTCAAGGGCGCGGCCTGTGACACGGACCATGCCATCCGCTTTAGAGCCGGACGGTTCGCCAGGTTCTCTGCTGCCTCTAGCACTGGCACTGTTCCTCTGAGGGTGAGGTGGGGAGGCAATGTAAGGATACTGACGCTTAGCACTCCAGCGTCTCAGCTTCGAGTTCAGGGCGCCGGGCGTAGGGCTAGTCTCTCGAAAACTCCCTGGACCTGAACTCCCTCGAAGGTGGGGGAGCCGCCTTCCAGAAAGTGTTGAAGTTGTTGTTGTCTGCCTGGCAAGCACTGTAAACCCTTTCCAACCGTGGAAATGCCAACAGCCAACGCATCAGCGCTAGCGCTGCCAACAAAAATTCACCGAAGCTGAACCTTCCGAACCCGGTGGTGCCAGCACCACAAAGATGCTCGGCCTCGCTGGGTCCGTAGACTCCATGGCTGCCGGTAAAGGTCACGTCTTCCGGGCTCTCTCCGAGACCCAGCACCTTGACAAAGGGCTTGGATTTGGGGAGGGGATGCAATGCGTCGGATTCAGGGTCTGGAAAGCTGCATCTGAGTGAAACCCTGCTCTGAAACCTGGAGAACCCCTGATCCAACCCTCGACCCAAACAAATTGCTGAGGCGAGTCTCAAGACAGCACATTGAACACAAGGCATATTATGTCATGGGGGATCTTGGCCCTAAACCCCGACAAAACTCTAATCCCTAAACCCTAAACCCCGAAAACCCTAATCCCCAAACTCCGAAAAACCTAAACCCCGAAAACCCTAATCCCTAAACCCTAACCCCCGAAAACCCTAAACCCTAAACTTAAACCCTAAACCCAAATCCCTAATCCCTACATCCTAAACCGAAAAGCATCAAGCCTGGGTGTAGAATCCCACCGGCACATCCACGTTGTAAGTACCGGGCCTGGGTTGGCTTTGGGTGTCTTCGCGTTTAGGGCTTAAGGTTTATAGGGTTTAGGGTTTAGGGGTTTAGGTTTACGGTTGAAAGGGTCTTGGCATTCGGGTTTCCCATCATTCGTTGGGCAAAGAGCATTTAGAGCTTGGAGTTCTGTGGGCAAATAAGGGTCAGGGATTAGGGATATCTTCACGGGATACCAGGAGCAAGTCGGAGGACTTGTGGTACTGTACCCCGACTGCCTTCGACAGCAAGGATCTTCAACCGGCCAACTTAACCCTGATTCCTTGCCGCAGCCATGATCCCAAAAAATTCCCCATGGCTTAATCACCCTAGACCCTAGACCCTAAACCCTAAACCCTATACCTTAAACCCTAAACCCTAAGCCCTAAACCCTAAACCCAAGCTTTTGCTGAATCCTGCGCCTCGCTGCTTGAACAGCAGGGCCACCCGCAGTGAGCTGAACTTGCCCGTCTCCAAGGGGCCCAACTGCTGGAACAGCGAGTCCACGGTGAGGCTGATGTTGTCCATTTCGGGGCTGAAGACATGCCTGGAAGTTTAGGGTTTAGGGTTTAGGGTTTAGGGTTTAGGGTTTAGGGTTTGGGGTTTGGGGTTGAGGGTTGAGGGTTATGGGTTTAGGGTAGTGTCGGAAAACAGCTTGCTGTTTCAGGTATGGTTTCAACGAAACGCTTTCTCGCGGAATAGCCGGGCTGCACCGATGCGGGCCACGCAGGTGGGTTCGGCTCTCGCACCTCCTCGGCTAGCATGCGGCTCTCAAGACATCTATACCTCATTTGGATCGAAATCGCAAGCAAGCCACATGCAAACGAGCGCCACGGCGTTGCAGCAAGGCTTGCATGTCTCCTTCAATAACAGCGTGTTTGCCGCGCACTTGCAAAGCGAAGGAAGGTATGTTGCTGAAGATCGCGACACGCCGCAACAACGCCAGCTGACGACACTCCTGTCCTCCAAGTTCGGGAGCCGCCGCATCACGAGTGGATGTGGACACTCTTGCGCAAAAGTACGCCAATACAGCTGCCTGATGATGCATCAGACGCATACTTGGCAAGCACTCGGCACTGCAGAAGGCATCAAGCCACATGATGCAATCAAAGGAATGGCCTAAGTTGCACAAATGCGCGGGCCTTCAGGAAAACCATAGTGCGAGCCGATAACTTCCACAACTTGAGCCAAGGAAACCTTTCATCGTGCCACCGTCAACATGCAGCGCTACAAAAAAAGGACATAATCAATAAAGTCATAGCTAACAATACTAACAGGTAAAGAACCCATCGCTAAATCTCGATGTTGTTACTGTAACTTAAGTTAAACCGCAAGCCACAAATCCAACCCGGAAGACAGAATTGTCTTTTACATAGACAGATGGATTAATTATTTATCTACACACTTCTTTCTGATTGCGCTACATGCCTTTTGGCAGCACTGTCAACACCTGTATTCGGATCACTGCTCAGATGAGCTTATACAAGCGCAGGCATCAAGTTTAATTCAATCCCAGGGTTGGGGTTCAGGCAAGACCTGTTGCGGTATGTCAGGCCTTCTGGTCCTGGCGCTTTCATGATGTGACCAGTTAGCTTAGCGGCTGTCAACACGTCGACATCCTCACAAACATAGACTATCAAAAACTCTGAAGCTCCGAGCGTAAAATATTCGAGTAGTGCACGGTCCTTCATCGTCGGGCATCCGTTTCATGTTCTGATTGCACCTTTTGTCGCCCTGTTTTGAGGGTGCCTGCTGCATTCTGGGGCCTCGTCATTCCCGGTGCGTTTCTTCCCAAGACCATGCTAAGGTTTAAGACCTGTTGTAGCAGTTCAATTCCAGAGTGTCAAAAATCAGAACATCATGATCACCAAAACGTCCATCAACAGTATGCTCAGAGCGATGATGCGATGATGAAGATTAGAATCCGAAAAGAAACCGGTGAGACACGCGGATTTTTTTCACTCTGCTTCTGCTGGGCTGAGCGAAGGTCTGCAGCATTGCCTGAAAGGCCGTGCAGGCCGCTTCGAAAGGCTCTGTCACATAACCCCAAGGCAGAAGGTATGCCCAAGGCCGTGTCACAACCATACGCTAGTTTGTGCTCGTTGCCAATGGCTCGACTCACAATACAACAGCTGTCCAACAGCCTCATCGGAGCGGGGGGCTGCCAGGCTCTCAAGGACTGCCCACATGCAAACACTAAACCCTAAACCCTAAACCCTAAACAATAAACCCTAAACCCTAAACCCTAAACCCTAAACCCTGCAAAACTCCATCAAGGCCAGTCGCAGTGAAGCCTGGTCGCGCGCGTCCAGGTCTCCCATCGATGGTTCTCCTAGATTCTCGGAGGCCATGCCCAATACTGAGGGTGATGCCATCTACGCTCCGAAGATGCTGGCCTGCTGTCCTGTTCTTGCCACGTACACAACTACAACATGTTAGGGCCACAAGAGACGTGAGGTATCGTTGCGGTTTTTGTTTCTTCTTCATGCATGCGGTTTTCACGAGGTTCACGCACCTCGGTCACGATGGTTTTTTGCATGTTATGGCCTAAACAGGAAGCATGTTTGTTTGCATGGCCATCTAATGTCCTGATTGCGAATGTTCTGCCGTGACGTCCTTGCTCTCCCTGGCACAATAAGCAACACCCACAGTATCCGAGCAGCTTGCAGAAGCAACGCGGGGTACGAAGGTGAAACCTGTGATGAAACAATTTCGGCTCACATGCCAGAGGCTGGGTCGAAGGCTTCCGCGTCTTTCCGCGTGGGCAACTCATGGCAGTTCGTGCCATCAAAACGGGAGTGGGAGCTCCCAAGGCACGGGCATTGTTGCTGCCAGGCTGCCATCTGACAGGCAGCTGCCCTCAGAGGTCCTTCAAACTAAATCCTCTGCCGCTAAGCCGCTAGTGTGGGGGGGTGCAAAGCTGCTGGGCACAAGTTGCCAAATCCGCTGAGATGGCTTTCCCCTTGCTTTTCGGGACTCCGGCGTTGAGGAGTCTTCGTGGCTTCGGTCTGGTCTTAGCATCTGACGGCGACAACGACAACATAGCCCAGCAAGCGCCTGCAAAAGCATCTTCACTGCTGGCGGTAAGGACGAGGCCTCAAAGTAGCTAACGAACTATGTATTCTGCAATTGAGCTCTACTCGTTTTTGTTCACGCTTTCACCCGATCCCCTTGCACACCTTCTTCGCTTAAAAGGTCCAACCTTCCACCTTTCGGGTTCCGACGGCATCGCTTCAAAGGCACGGCTCGCTTCTTCATTCAAACACAAAACCGGCAGAGGCGGCTTAGGCCAAGCCATGCTGCCAGTCGTCCAAATCCCACTGAACTCCTTAAAGCTGACTCCTCTATCTGCTACGAGGCTAGTATGGGTGCAAAGCTTCTGGGCACAAGTTGCCAGTGTCGTCCGTTGAGATGGAAATGTCCCTTGCTTTTCGGGACTCTGGTGCTGAGGTGTCTTCGTGGCTTCGGGTCTTAACGTCTGACTGTGACACCGGCAACATAGCCCAGCAAGCATCTGCAAGAGTGGTCACTCCTCTGGAGATGCAAAGGAAAGAAGCCTGAAGCTACTGTACACATTCCGACTACCGCATGCGCTACGCCTGTTGCCGATTAGTAATATGTTCGGAGTTTCGGAGTTTTGCTCCCAGAATTCCGACTTTCCTTCGCAACGACAAATTTGTGCTACGTTTCGCTCCAGCGAGATGTCGCGGCTATCCCCTCCAGCAGCTCCACAGCAAGAGGGAGCGCAGGACATCAGGAGGGGTGTTCTGACTCGGCTCCTCCAACTGAATCTTTCTCGGAAGGGGATGGCGAGGAGTATCGCCACTAGCTACTCAGCAAGTTGTCAGATTGAAGGAGCCCGCAAGAACATTCGGATTTTGTGTCGAAGCCAAGGTGGGCGGATTCGAATGAACCCGGCAGCCACCTGGCCGGGTACAAGCTCAAACATGCGGCCTCTGGCAGCTTCAGGCGCCCTTCGAATCAGAAAAGCAACAGGAAGTGGTACTTGTGGCATGGCTGCCACGCATGAAACAAGCATTGGAAACCGTCGTACGGATACGAAAGCCAGCCACCAGTCCTAAACACGTATTCGTCAGGCAGCCCTCGGAATTCCTTCTGGCCCCTATCATCTTCCGGTGCAGAGCTTCTGGGCATGGGTTGGCAGCGTCATCCACCGTGGAGATAGCTTTCCCTATTTAACGCCTGGGTTTGAGGCCTCTGCTGACCTCTGGTCTTTACATAGGATGGTGATGACTGGACAACATGGCCCATCAAGCTGAAATTGCAAAAACAGTGGTGGCTGGAAGGACAAAGGCTCGGAGACTGACTCAAGCTTGTGGACGGATCTCTTGGGCTTTTCCAACTTCTACAGGCCTGTGTGGTGGGTTATGCTGGACACAACTGCCACAATGATTTCGACTACGCCTGACCACGCCATGCCACTTCCTTTCCTGCCACTGCATCTGGAATCCATGTCTTGCGAGTTTCTGCGGATCTTTCTTGGGGGGTTCAAACAAACGTTTACGGCCCCAGTCCTTCGAGCCGAGGCCCGTACTTCAAACGGCGGGAAGTGCCATGCTCTCCCGATAACAGGTGACCCCAAACACGGGAAGATTCGCCTGTGCTCTCTCTTACCGTGGAGCCCAGCTGAGAGCGGACGCAATGGCCGCATTGTCAAAGGCGCGCAGCAACGCCATACAGTATTCTCCATCTGGGATAAAACGGCCTTGTGTCAATTTTGAGATGGGGTGGTCAGAAGGTAGCGGATACTTCACAATAAACTCATAGCGTGAGATACTGAACACGATCTAATGCCTTCTAGCTGCCTAGCTTCTGCACAACGCAACGTGGCAAGACGCTAGAAATGTAGAAATTGCAACGCTGGTCAGACTCGCACTAAACTAAACAAGACAACATGCTGAAGGAACACGTGTCCCAAAAGGCTCCGTAGGTGCAAAGCTCGAAACGACACAAGGTGCTCCTGCCTAGTTGGGCTTGCCCATCCTCCGTACTTGGTTCAGAACATCCCCAGCGAGAAGAAGAGCCAGCATCTATAAGAAGGTACAGAACATTGAAAGACCAGTAAGACAACGAACCTACACAGAAAGCCAAACTTGGGAGCATGGGAGTGGATCTTGGACCTACCAACAGATGCTCCTTAAAAAACAAGGGCCAACTTCACCATGGTACGATCTTGAGCCGTAGACAGCAAGAGCAGCTTCAGCCACCATAAGTGGCCTTAATAGAGACAGCGCTACTTGCCCTTGGCTCCCCTAGAGTTGTAGGGTTTGGGGGTTTACTATGAAAAGGGTTGCTATAAGAGTTACTATAAGGCCGAAAGGGTTAACTGTCCTTCTGGCCAACCATCCGGCCACACAGGGAGGCCTCCTTGCAAGAATTGATCGGCGAACCATTGGCAAATGACTTGAGGCTTTGCTGTCGCACGATACACGTCCAACGCGACCTTTTTGGAAAGATGCTCGTTTAAACCAGATAGATGGAGATAGAAACAGAAAGCCGCAGTCAATTGCCAAGCTAGATCGACGCACTGCTTTGGTGCAAGTCGTCGGGTGCTGCAGCAGGGATTGTTTTGCTTGAGCGCCGACGACCCGGAGGTCAAGCGGTTCAGCGAAGAGTTCCGAGTCTTGAGGCCAAGCCCCTGAAGATGGACCCCAACACTGCCACTATGGATTTATGTGCATGCAAGCGCGAGGTAGGAACTGACGAGTGGCACACACAAGCGCTTTTGCTTGAGCGGGATCAGCTAGCTGCTAGCTGCTGTTCCGCTTGGGGTGGAAGGGATGAGGACCTTGCGAGCCCTTTATGCCTCCGGAACCCCTCGCCGCTGCAGTATCTGCATGCATTGCATGCCATCTCGTGCCACATGACGTCGGCCATTACAGGCGCATGCATATGAAGGGTTGGAACTACAAACGAGTGCGAGCAACTGCAGGCCATGTGTTGCAACATCTACATGCAAGCGCCTCTACATGGAAGGAATCAGTTGATTGTGAGAGAGAGGGAAGAGTGATCACAACCGAAATTTCCGTTCGGTCCAACGGATATTGTGAGCGTGGAGCCGGCTGCAAGGGTGGTGGCTGGGAAGGTAAAGGGCGTGTCACTGTTGAGGCCATTCCTGGAGGATACCAGTGTCGAGCCCTTGTACATCCACACGTCGATACCTCCGCAATGCGCCCCCAGCTCTGTGGCATAACCAGCCACATTCACATCACGTGTCGCTTTGAACTTGACCATGAGGTACTCCTTGTTCCGGTTGTGGCCAGTATGCAGAGCAAGCGAGTTGTCGTCCGCTTTCCCCTCTCTACTCGCTGGAGAAATGATAACGCCGGTGCTGGTGCCAATGGCTGGCAAGTCGAAGGCTGTCCTTTCGCTCCGCGGGGTGATGAAGCCTAGGTTCCCCAGTAGACCCATCATAATAAGGTCAACCTTTTTCTTACTACTCTGTTTTAGTAAGGAACCCCAAGAAAAAAGAGAACAAAAAGGGTACTGCTCAGGGACCTAGAAGCAGTTCGCCGCTCGTACCTCGTTCTTTGAAGTCGCATACTGCAGCGTCTTCTCGGTCCCGCTTCCGGGAATATGAGTGCTCGACACCTTGAAGGCCCACCCTAAACCCTAAATCCTAAACTCTAAACCCTAAACTTTGGCCCTAAACGCTAAACCCTAAACTCCGGGAATATGGCTGCTCGACACCTTGAAGGTCCACCTGCCAAGGCCGCCGGGGGAGTCGTAGTCAGCCAGGGACCCCGAGGCAAAGTTGCTCGCCACGTAGTCACCACGGAGACTTGCCGCCTACGGTAGGACATGGTAGGACGTTCAGTCATGTTGAGTCTACATGAGATTCTCTTCCTAGGCCTGGGCAGGGCAGAGCTACACGAACAATCAAATCATGCTTAAAACTTAAAAATGCGAAAGCTTAGCCAGGCAGGCTTTCAAGGCCATTCGAGAACACAATAAGTCTTGATGGATGTGCGAGGAGATTCCCACTGGCAACAAAATCCACGAATTCAAAGAATGGTCTCTCGATGAGTTGCGCTGCCCCCATGCTTGTAGCAGTGTACTACTATAGTACGATCTGACATCTTCACGGATGTAAGGGGGAAACGGGGAGTGTCGGGGAGTGCTTCGACAGGCATGACAGTGAGATTGGTGGAACTGGCGCAGAGTTTCAGTGGTACCCAAATCACACAAAGCAGTAACGAAGCTTGTCAAGGGCAGTTTCGAATAACAGGCGAGATGGACGAATCAAGTGAATACTGGCTCGACAGCTCTGCTTTGTATCTCGTGCACTACTTCGCCTCGGTGCCGGCTGTGGGCGGCAAGAGGTGCTTGAAGACTCCATGTTACCCCACCTCCAATTCCTACTATCGTAGTCCACCCCACGCCCACCCTCTGGATTGAGGAATGTTGAGGGACTGCGCCCTTGGATTGGCACCGAAATGTTGTCCTATATTCCTTTTTCCTAAACCAGTGTGATTTGACCTGGGCAGCCACAAAGCCAGGCAGCGCAGTCGGCGCGCTCCGTTGCCATGTTTTGCACAGGCCAAATCACACTGGTCTATGGAGAAAAAGAAACAAAGGATCAAAGTTTCAGAGGCTGCCGTCAAAGGTTTCACGCTTGGCGGAGCCCACTGCGAGGGCTGCACGCGCCCCACCTCTGGTCTGCATAAGGGGTTCGAAGCGCCTGGAAAAGGCTTCACGCCGGTATTCGTTTCACGCTTCGCTGGCCGTGCCAGCTGGCGTGGCCCGGCAGGGTCCGCTGACAGGCTTGGGCTTGGGCTGCACAAGCCCCATCCCACCGGTCTGCACAAGGGGCTCGAACTTCGAACATTCGTTTGAGAAGGGTTTCAAAATTGCCGAACCCTGCTAGGCTTTGGCTGCACAAGCCAAATCACTCTCAAGTCTCTAGATCTGTGTAGAAGCTTACAAGGGCTACGTTGGCGGGCCACGCTGGCGATTTCAGTGCGCTGCACAAGTCTCGTCTCACTGGTCTACATAAGGGACTCGACATTTCTGCTTCACTGTTGACGGCCCCGCTCGACCAGGGCCCATATAACTTTATGCGGGTTGTTGAACGAAGTTCTTTCTCAGGTTTGCGATTGCAGGAAGCACTATCACTAAAGCCCGAAATCGTCGTTGTGCTTGTCAGACTCATTGCCGAGGCACGACATAATTCGAGCCACCACCAGCCTCACATTTCATTGGAACAGTGATTGTACTACAGGTGTTTTTTCGCTTGGAGCTTTGCCATCAGGGACATTTACTAGCTTTTGGGGCATGACCCTTGAATGTGCAGCATCTCAGTGTCCGAAAGAAAGAAGTAATACTAGTAACATGAAAGATAACAAGCGCAATTAACACAAACAACAGCTATAAGGTTATAAGACCCAAAGCCAAAGCATAAGTGGTATGCGGTGAATGCATCTGTTGCATCAAACGCTCCAATGCGGGTCCCATACATTCCATGACAGGGACAAGGGAACACTGGCACGCACATGGCAGCAATCGACATAGTTGTGCTCCGAAGTACGATAAACTCCTCGTTGGAATATGTTGGGATGCTGATGAAAGCACAGGCCCTCGGCTACGAAACTCTCTTTCAAGAGTCTCATGCTGGGTGAAAACACCTAATGCATAGTCCCATGGAAGGCCGAACTCTGCGACTTGTGATCTAAGGGCTTGGGGTTTTTGGAAAGCTACTTGTACATTCCGCAGTAGCCCAGAAAACAGAGCGATGAAGCGGCTAGCCATCAGGCTTTACGACTCCACTGCACACATGCAAAGTCTGGCAGGACAATGGGGAAGTTCGAACTTGCCGTCGGTTGCTGTTGCACGAGCACAGTGCACACGTTAAGGTGTGTGTACTGGGGCCTGCCATGTGACCTTGAAAGGCACAGGAGGCATGACGAGAACTGGTCTTGGGGTCTGTGGTGCAGGCGCGCAAGCCGACTGAATTGTGTCTGAGTTGGGGCAGTTTGGGGTTGCGGGCTGCTTTTGACGACGCCCTGAAGCATATGAGGAGCCAAGACACATCGCTGCTGCATTTACCGTAAGATCGTTCGAAAATCACAACCTCCTCAAGGCCCCCCCCTCCTCAACCACCCCAACCTCCTCGACCCCCTCGACCCCGCCCCCCCTCAACCCCTCAACCCCCTCAACCCCCTCAACCCCCTCAACCCCCTCAACCCCCTCAACCCCCTCAACCCCCTCAACCCCCTCAACCCCCTCAACCCCCTCAACTCATGGGGGCAAGAACACAACAAGAGACTATGGGTTCGACCTGGGCCCTAAACCCTAAACCCTGTTAACGCCTAAACCCTAAACCCTAAACCCTAAACCCTAGACCCTAAACCCTAAACCCTAAACCCTTGATATCAAGATGTTAAGAAATCCTAAGCCTTGGTCCCTAAGCCCTAGGCCCTTCTATGTCGGCCGGTGCCTTGTGGAAGTACAGGGTCAGCCCATGGTCCGTCGCGGGTCCTTTGGCCGTTGCAATACCCAGGGTTTAGGGTTTAGGGTTTAGGGCTTAGGGCTCAGGGTGAATGTCGCAGAAGCTTCAGCAGCCAGAAGCACGAACAAGCACATATTGTCCTGTGCCAGGTGGCGATTCGATAAGTTCTTACAAACACTGTTCGACCCCGAAGCCCTAAACCTTGGGATGTTTCCTCTTCTACTAACAGCCCTTAACGGGGATTGTAATGGGGGGAGGGGGGGGGCACCACTAGGTTTGTTAAGGACGGCTAGTGCATTCCAACCTAAACCCCTTTGTACAGTCGGCCCAAAGGCCTTGCCAACAGCCCCCCAAACCCTAAACCCTAAACCCTACAAACCCTTTGAAGTGCAAGAAACCCTCTGCGAACGCCAAAATACACCGACCCCCTTTGTAAACCCTACATCAACCCTATATCAACCCTATATAAACCCTACATCAACCCTACATCAACCCTACATCAACCGTATATTAACCCTCCATAAACGCGAAAACCCCGAGCCCCAAGCCCCCACTCGCAGCGTCCTGTGCAGTGGTTTCCAGACCCCTCACCTCCAGTGTCGGACCGATCCTTGCACACTTCAAATCGGGCGGCTTCCTTTTGTGCTTTTCTTAATAGGGCTTACAGCTTCAGGGGCTTTTGGGGTTTTTTTTGGGGGGGATACGGGGGGGGGGGGGGATGCAGAGGGGGGGGTGCGGAGGTGCGGAGGGGAGGTGCGGAGGGGAGGTGCGGAGGGGGGGTGCGGAGGGGGGGTGCGGAGGGGGGGGGGGGGGTTGGGTTTCTGGGTTTGTTTCGGGATGCCTAGACCCTGAATCCCAGACGAGTCTCGGAATGAGGTGTTGTGGGGTTTTGGGCCTATAGAAGGTGGCTCCAAGGCTGTTCGGCCTGGGGCATGCTTGCGGCTTAAAAGGTGTGGTGTCCAGGTTGGAAACACTGCTTCAACTCTAAACCCTAAAGCCCTCAAACTCCTCAACCCTAAAGGTTTTCAAGGAAAGTCCTTTGGCTCGGAGGGTCTGCAGGGGAGTCGAGGGTCCTAAAAAACCCCAAGCACTGAGTGGTTCAGGGGGTTGGGGGTTTAGACTTTAGGGTTTTGGGGGTTTTACGGTTTAGGGTTTTAGGTGGTTTAGGGGCTTTGGGTTGAGGGGTTGAGGGGTCCAGGAGCTGAAGGATTTAGGGGTTTAGGGGCTTAGGGGTTGGGGAGTTGAGGGGTTGAGTTGAGGGGTACCCTAAACCCTCAACCCTAAACCCCAAACCCTAAACCCCAAACCCTAAACCGTGGCGTTTAGGGGTTATGGCAAAGCCCGAGTGTCCGAGAGCTTGTCCACACCTCCCTTGATCCGGCAGTTTCCTGGATGGCACGGCTCATTCAGGGTTTAGGGTTTAGGTTTAGGGTTCAGGGTTGAGGGTTGAGGGTTTAGGGTTTAGGATTTAGGGTTCAGGGTTTAGGGTTAAGGGTTTAGGGTTTAGGGCTTCGGGTTTCGGGTTTAGGGTGTAGGGTTTCGGGCTTGGGGTTTAGGGTTTAGGGGTTTGCTGTGATAGGGCGTAGATGCTGTGAAGGTTAGCCCTAGAAGTCAAGCACCGGTTTTAGAAACAGGCTCTAAGGCAAAGGCGGTTCCCGAAACAGGCGAGGGTGATTCACGCACTCCTTTTTCCTGAGGTTTGGAGAGGTCTTTGCACATGTTGCCCAGGAGAAGTGTCATTTAGTCTGCCAAAGCTTCTGATCCATCAGTGGCCACTGCAGCGCATTCGTTTTCTTGCGGTCTTGTTGTGCTTCAGATACCAAATCAGATCGAGACCATACAAGTTTCGATATCAAATTCGTGGCATTTTTCAGACATGCAATCCCAGGCTCTTGCTCATCTTCAATTTCAGTGCTCGGAGCCTTCCCGAGAAAAGTGACGACAAATAAGCACAAAAGACAGGGTACCTGTGAGGCCTCAGCATATTCACCAACTCCCAATAGGACAAAACAATGGTTTCAGCGAAATCTAGCCAAGCTTGCTTCTGAGTCATCTTTGCAGCCCTGGCAAGAGCAGCTTGGGCATCTTTGCCCAAAGAGGCAGGCATAGCGTCAGCCAGCCCACAAAACGAGTCAAGCTTGTAGCGCCACTGCAAAAACGTGCGGCCAAGCAGCAGAGCATAAAGTCATGTTGCATGACTAAGCGCGTGCACGCAAGACTGACGTGCGATTCACGTCTGTTTTGGTGTGATTTCACTGATAGAGGATGTCGTGAAAACAGTCAATCCCGAAACGGGCGTTCACGCGAAAAAACCTGCTTTCACGCGAAGAGACCTGTTTTCACGCAGTTTTCACGCGTGATTCACGCCCTTTCACGGCTGTTTTCCCTTATAAGGCCGAAACACCTGTGCAAAAAACTAGACCAGAATCACGAACACGGTGGTGTGATCACTAGTGCTCCTTGGAACAGGTGATCGCCACAATCATCGTATGTCATTGCGGCAAGTTCGAAAGCAACGTGAGCACGCCAAAAATGCTGGCACACAGACACAGGCGATAGCTTAGGCTGTCCACCCTACGTGAAGTCAAGACGTTCCCTCAAAGCACGCTTCATGATGCAAGTACCTGCAAGTGATCCTTATTTGATGGATGTAGATCTTCAGATTGAGCCCAGAATCTATTTGGGCCAGAAAGCAGCTTACCAACTACCAGTTTCTTTTTAGCTCGCAATTTTGCAGCTGGAGGGCATCACGTGGGACTGCAATTGTCATCCAAACCCATGGCAAGCATCAGGCAACAGGTGGCCGCGAACATCCAAAGTTTTTTGTGCGATGAGTATCATGTCTGTTGGGACCAGGGTCGGCACGACATAGACAGACACATCGTCAAATGTGAATGAATGCATGTTTTTCATTGTGGACCACAAAGCTGAAGTCTCAGCTCTTCTTTCCTTTGCGGTCATCATCTACATATCTTTGGGCACTAGAGATGCGCATCATCGCCCCCAAATGGGCGTTAGGGGCACCAAAACCAACGAGCGGCAAAGGCGGTTTCCTAAACGGGCTTGGATTCCCAGGGTTAGGCTTTGGATCAAGCTCGAAAGCTCCGTGCGGCGCGAAGAGCAGCTTTGGCCCGATTGTGGAGGGCCGTCTAACACTTTTCTCCCACCCCACGCCGTCCAAGCCGGCAAAGCCACCCAAACCTAATCCTTTTCGGGTTTAGGCCTAAACTCAAGGCGACAGTCCACTTCTAAAAATTTTTCGGGAACTTACAGGGGCCCCAGAGGGGGGTCCCAGGACGGTCTCAGAGAGGTCCCAGAGAGTCGGCTTGCGCCATCGAGGGGCTTAGGTGCCGCCCAACTGTAGGGGCGGCCTAGGCCTTGAGTTTAGGGTGGGTTCATTCTGGGTGACTACATCTTCACGCCCATGAGGCCAAACCAATTCTTAGCCCGAGAGCCTACTGACCAAGAACGCAAGCCCAATGAGGACCAAGCGAACCCTAAACCCTAGACCCCGAACATCACCCGATGAGTACGACTTTGGGTTGAGGGTTTGGGGTCTGGGCTAGGGGTGGCGCTAAGTTTGGGCTGTAATCACAGCACAGCGAAAGGGCCACTAGCAATTACAATAAACAACACTGAATGCGCAACCTGTCAGCGCATTCGCGACGCATGTTTCCACCAGCAAACCCTAAACCATATATACCCTGAACTCTAAACCCTAAACCCTAAACCCTAAAACCCAAACCCCAAACCCCAAACCCTTCTAGGGCGCAGGACGATCAAGTCGCTGTTTCTCGCCACCCGTCCACGGGTGACCATGCCAAATCTGGGCTCTCAGGACAAGGAAACCCTGGTGCCCCACTTCTTGAGCCCCCTAAGCCCTAAACCCTAAAACCTAAACCCTAAACCCTAAACCCTAAACCCTAAACCCTAAACCCTAAACCCTAAACCCTAAACCCTAAACCCTGACCCAGAAACCCTGAACCCTAAACACGAAAGCCTAAACCCTAAATTCTTGAGTCAAGCCGCCATATGCAGGGTAGCACCCGGTGCCGCACATGGCGTGGCCCATGCTGAGTGAGGAGTGGCAGTCCTCTAGCTTGCGCTGACTTCGGGTTTAGGATTTAGGATTTAGGGTTTAGGGTTTAGGGTTGCGGGTTGGGGGTTTGGGGTTTAGGGTTTAGGGTTTCGGGTTTAGGGTTTAGGGTCTCGGGTTTAGGGTTTGGGGTTCGGGGCCAGGTACTCCTAAACTATGTTGTGGTGAGGGTTCGGGTTCAGGCTTTGGGAGTTTAGGGGTTTAGGGGTGTAGGGTTCAGATTGGGGCTTCGGACGTTGGGGCATATTTTAGGGGTAGGTGAGATAAGATAAGAAGCCACATGGCCTGCGTTGGAGAAGCATCCTTCTGGCTTGATTAGGGTTTTCTCGTTTAGGGCTTTTGGGGTTTAGGGTTTAGGGTTTAGGGTTTGGGGTTTGGGATTTGGGATTTGGGGCTTGGGGTTTAGGGCTTTGAGCGCTTCTCTTTGCCGGGGATGACCCTGTGCAGTCTTAGCTATCACGGGACCAAGAGAAATCACAGGATGCCCATTCTAGGGTTTAGGGTTTGGGGTTTCGGGTTTCGGGTTTCGGGTTTAGGGTTTAGGGTTTAATTAGGCTTTAGGGTTTAGGGTTTAGGGTTTAGGGTTTAGGGTTTAGGGTTTAGGGTTTAGGGTTGTAGGGCTTTTCTGCGCCGTTTGGGAAGGTTTGTGTTGCTGACCTACTCTGCCCATAAGGAAGCAGTTTTGGCCCAGCTTCGCATCCATCGTCGTCCAGCATCAGGCTTCGAATTCCGTCTTGATCCCTGTACCTTATGGGTTTAGGGTTTAGGGTTTAGGGTTTCGGGTTTAGGGTTTAGGGTTTAGGGTTTAGGGTTTATAGAACTTGCATAGGGTTTGGGTCCTTTGAACGAAACGTTTTGAACGAAACGTTCTGAACGAAACGTTTGGAACAGAACGTTTTGAACGAAACGTCTTGAACGACACAGCGCAATGTAAACATAGCCCTTTCATGAAAACATCAGAAGCTCAACCCCGGATCTCCAAGTCCAGTACTCTCTGAATGCTGCTGACCCCTAAACCCTAAACCCTAAACCCTAAACCCTCAACCCTCGTTGAATGTCAGGAGCATGAAATGGTCTTGAGCAGAATTCGTGATACTTCCCTGGCCGCAGGGCGCGCAGAACTTCGGGTCGAGGGATTCGAGTTTGGGTTCAGGGGGAGCAGCCTAGACAGTTGCCCAAGCCTGAACCCTTAACCCCAAACCCCAAACCTAAACCCCAAACCCCAAACCCCCCAAGGCCTCAGGGCTTTTGCACCTTCTTTGGCACCCGATAGTGTACGGAGGGGGGGGGGACCAATGATCCTCAACCCAATCGCTGCAAAGCTACCAGTCGGCCCAATCTAGTACCCTAAACCTTAGACCCCAAGCCCAAAGCCCCAAACCCCAAACCAGTTTTGGGGGGGAAGCGCTCTCGTGGCAGATGAGGTTCCGGGTTTGCATTCAACATCACATCACGCTGGGTCGCTTGGTGCAAGCGCAGCAAGCTCAGCAGTTGGGATTTTGACTGGTGTGTGCCCTAAATCCCCTTCAAGAGCTAGAGCGCCCGAAGAACCCTCTAGAAACCTTGTAAGACCTGCCCAAAACACCCTGAAACGCCTGAAGCCCCGTTACAAAAAGGAAACAATCCTAAACCCTAAAATCCCTAAAAGCCCCCTAAACCCTTAACCCTAAACCCTAAACCCTTTACCAAAAAACAACCATCATAAACTCTAAGACCCCTAAAGCCCCCTGAACCCGGAAACCCCCGCCTTCAGCACTTGCGGAGTCCAGGCCGGGCCGCTGAGCTTCTCCGTCTTCTCCCCGTGCCTCGAGACAAAGGGCTCGGGGCTTTCAGGGGTAGGGGATCAAAAAAAATTGTTTGGGATCAAAAAATAATTTATTTCTAGGCGGATCAAAAAAAACTTATTTGGGATCAAAAAATATTTTACTGAAGGCTTCGAAGGCTTCTTGCAAGCGGAACGGAGGCTGTAAACGCTCAGAAATGCAGCAGTTCTGGCCGTTCGCAAGCTCTAAATACCGAAAAAACACAGCATTTTTGCGCATTTCAGAGTTTCCAGAGAGGCTGCAGATATTGTTTGTAGCAGCAGTTCTGCGCTTTCAGAGGCTGGAAATACTGTACACTGCAGCATTTCTGAGTTTCCAGAGGCTGCAAATACGGAAAATAGCAGCATTTCTGCGATTTCAGAGGCTGGAAATACTGTGAATAGCAGCATTTCTGAGTTTGCAGAGGCTGCAAATCAATGCTAGCATCTTGGCATTAGAAGTTTCAAAAATGCGTATACTCTGAAGCATGTATATTCTGGCATAGTATTGTGGAAATTCTTGTATAATATTGCATGACATTGTATATTCTTGCATGTTATTGTACGTTGTTGTATATTGTTGAGTTTCATTGTATTGTCTTGTGTTTTCTTATGTTTTTGTGTGATATTGAATATTATTGCATATTATTGAATGTTATTGTATATTTTTTCAATTTATTGTATATTGTTCTCTTTTTTTGTAGGTTACTGTATATTATTGTATATTCTTGAATTTTCTTTGTATATTATTGCAGATTACTCTGTATTATAGTATATTATTGTATATTCTTGTATATTATTGTCTGCTATTGTATATCTACTATTGTATATTATTGTAGTCTTTTGTACACTATTTTATATTGTTGTATGTCTTGCTGTACATCTTTTGTACATTTTTGGAAAAAAATATTGTATATATGGGTGTAGATTTTTGTAGATTTTTGTATATTTTTGTATATTATTGTATATTGTTGTCTGTATTATTGAATATTATTGTCAATTACTGAAAATTATTGTAAGTTATTCTTTTTTTACGTGTATATTGCTGCATATTCTTGTACATACTTGCATATTGTTGTATTTTTCTGTACTATTGCATATTATTGCATCGTTTTGTAATATATTCTTGTATATCATTGTATCTTACTGCGTCTTCATGTTTTTTTGCAAAAAAGTGCTCGCATCAGAAGGATTTATGTGCTTTGAAGCAAGCTTGCCCGGACTAAGAAAACAGCCGGGGGGGGGTTGGGGGGGGCGCAGCCCCCCCCATTTGCAAACACAACGCTCGCATCATTGGTTTGGAAAGGATACTCATATGCTTTGAAGCAAGCTTGCCCGGCTTTGAGAAACAGCGGGGGGTTTGAAGGGGGGGCGCAGACCCCCCCCCCCCCATTTGCAAACACAATGCTCGCATCATGGGTTTGGAAGGGATTCATACGAGTGGAAGAAGCTTGCCCGGCGCCAAACAAACAAGAAATATGTATTGTGTATTATCAATTCTATATCAAATAGCAGTAAATATATACATATATGCTTTGCTATTTCGACTTTATTACATTTTTATGATACAAAGGTATACTCTACGATATTGTGGTCTATTCTACTCTATGCCACTCTAAATATTTTGTTATACTTTGTTTTAATATATATACACATATATATATATATATTAACATATGATGTTATGTTATGTTTTCCTACATATCCTTTCCTGTCCTTTCCTTTCCTTTCCTTCCTTGCTTCCTTGCTTCCTTGCTTCCTTGCTTCCTTGCTTCCTTGCTTCCTTGCTTCCTTGCTTCCTTGCTTCCTTGCTTCCTTGCTTCCTTGCTTGCTTGCTTCCTTCCTTCCTTCCTTCCTTCCTTCCTGCCTTCCTTCCTTCCGTCCTTCCGCCCTTCCTTCCCTCCCTCCCTCCTTTTCTCCCTCCCTCCCTCCCCTTCCCTCTCTCCGTCGGAAGAACCGAATAAATTATTTCTTGATCCTAAAAAAAGTTTTTTTTGATCCTAAATAACTTTTTTCTTGATCCTAAAAAAATTTTTTGATCCGCATCCCCGGGGCTTTGGGGTTTTGTGTCTTTTTGGGTTTGAGGTTTGAGGGTTTGTGGTTTAGGGCCTAGGGTTCGAGGGTTTTGGGTTTAGGGGTTTGAGGTTTGAGGTTTGAGGGTTTGTGGTTTAGGGCGCAGGGTGGGTTTGAGGGTTTTGGGGTTTAGGGGTTTAGGGGTTTTGGGGAGGGGGGAGGGGGGTTGAGCAGGGAGTTTGGCATTTCTGGGTTCGGGGGGCTTAGCCAACCCCATACCATACAACTCCAAACCCTAAACCCTAAACCCTAAACCCTAAACCCTAAACCCTAAACCCTAAACCTGCACCTTGGGATGCTCCCCCTTATACTAACAGTCCTGAATGAGGATTACAATAGAAGATACTATCATCCCCATTAAGGACTGTTACTATTTTAGGGTTTGGGTTTAGGGTTTAGCGTTTAGTGTTTAGTGTTTAGTGTTTAGGGTTTAGGGTTTCGGGTTTAGGGTTTAGGGTTTAGGGTTTAGGGTTTAGGGTTCAGGGTTTAGGGTTTAGGGTTTAGGGTTTAGGGTTTAAGGTTTAGGGTTTAGGGTTTAGGGTTTAGGGTTTAGGGTTTAGGGTTTAGGGTTTAGGGTTTAGGGTTTAGGGTTTAGGGTTTAGGGTTTAGGGTTTAGGGTTTAGGGTTTAGGGTTTAGGGTTTAGGGTTTAGGGTTTAGGGTTTAGAACATCCCAACCTATGCCCATCTGAACCCCTTACCCTAACCAAGCCTCAAGCCTACCCAGTTTGGGATCACAAGGGAATACCCTAAACCCTAAGCCCTAAACCCTAAACCCTACTATTAGTAATTATTCCGACCCCTCAATAAACTGCAAGCAGCACGGCTGCAACCCTAAACCCTAATACCCTAAACCCTAAACCCTAAACCCTAAACCCTAAACCCTAAACCCTAAACCCTAAACCCTAACCCCCACCTAACCCAACCAACCCCGGGTCTCTTCACCTGGCCTTCCAGCTACGGACATGCTGCAGCTTAGGGTTTAGGGTTTAGAGTTCAGGAAGGGGCCTACCCTAAACCCTGAACCCTAAACCCTAAACCCTAAACCCTAGGGTTAGAGCTTTAGATTGGCATTTAGGGGGTGGCGGGCAAGGGGTTCCCCAGAATCGGCCAAGGGGCACGAAAGCTTTGAAGGCGGCATGGGCGACGCTGTTCGATGCGTCGAACTTCCACAGGAACTCGTTGCCCACATCATCCTGGAAGCACTAACCCTAAACCCAAAACTAAACCCTAAACCGAAAACCCTAGACCCTAAACCCTAAAACAGCCCATGGACTGTCTCGAACACATACAAAGCCCCAACTGTTGGACATTTGGATGTATGAGGGCTTCTTAGCTTCGCCAGTGTGCTGCGCATATGGTCAAACAGAGGGCCTTCTTGGATTTTTGGTGTTTAGGGTTTAGGGTTGGGGTTTTGGGGTTTTGGGGTTTTGGGGTTTTGGGGCTTTGGGGTTTTGGGGTTTTAGGGTTTAGGGTTTAGGGTTTAGGGTTTAGGGCTTAGGGTTTAGGGTTTAGGGTTTAGGGTTTAGGGTTTAGGGTTTAGGGTTTAGGGTTTAGGGTTTAGGGTTTAGGGTTTAGGGTTTAGGGTTTAGGGTTTAGGGTTTAGGGGTTTAGGGTTTAGCCGAAGCAATGGGATGACAGGCCGACAGACACTCCTCACACATGCTACGAAGCTTGGCGGTCCCCGTGCATGCCGAAGCTCCTTGGCCAGAAGCTCTAAGCCATCCTCCGAAACCTGCAGCTTAGGGTTTAGGGAATAAGGGTTAAGGGTGAAGGGTTTAGGGTTGAGGGTTGAGGGTTTAGGGTTTAGGGTTTAGGGCTTGGGGTGGTGCACATAGGGGCTTTGGGCTGAGGTCTTCTGACCCCAAAATCTCAGGTGGGAAGCATCGAACCTCCAACCCAAAAGCCAAAGTCTGACTGACCTCGAAGAATCATCGGGTCGGTGATTGGCTACCCTAAACCCTAAACCCTAAACTCGGCCTAGGCCGCCCCCCTACGTTGGGGGGCGGCGCTGAAGCCCTCCGACCTCGATGGCGCAAGCCGACCCAGGTCGCCTGCCCGCCTACGATGGGCCCGGTACCGGAACACGTTCTCCTAATCAGTTTTTCCGGTCTTGAGCCCACTCTGTCCCTTGGCCCCTTGGCCCCCTGGCCCCCCTGGCCCCCCTCCCTGGCCCTGGCCCCTTCTGACTTTTCTGGCCTCTCCTGGCCCCTCCCAACCCACCCCCCCTCTGCTTTCGAGCTTGGTCGAAACCTAACCTTCACAGCATCTACGCCCTATCACAGCAAACCCTAAACCCTAAACCTTAAACCCTAAACCCTAAACCCGAAACCCTAAACCCTAAGCTGAGGGATTCTTAGGTGGGGGTTCTTGGCCCGCATGCCCGGAACACCAGACCGCGGACCTGGCAGGGGACTGAGGGGATCCAAGTTTGGTTGAGTTTCTTGGGTGCGGGGTATTGGGTTTTCGATGGTTTGGGGCTTAGGGATTGGGGATTAGGGACCAGGGTTTGGGGTTTTTAGGGTTACCTTAAACCCTAAACCCTAAACCATAAACCCTAAACCCCAAACCCCAAACCCGGCCCCCCACCGTGCCTTCGGCAGCTTCTGAAAGCATACCGGGTCGTTTGCTTGGCAGTCGCCGAAGTCGTCCGCCAAGACGTCTGTCTTACCTTACTTTGGACCCTAAACCCTAAACCCCAAACCCTAAACCCTAAACCCTAAACCTTCCAGAGTTCTACGGCTGGGGGACTTCGTAAGTCTACTTCGTATCCCCTAGAAACTCTATGAGGATCCCAGAACCCAACTTGCTAGCCCTACTTCCTACGTCAAAAGGGCTTTCCAAGTATTTTGGGGATTTCCCAAGGCTTTGGGGTTTGGATCTCCTTGGGTTTAGAGAGTAGAGTTTCGGGCTCTAACCCCTAAACCCTTCCCTAAACCCTAAACCCTGCAAACCCTAACCCTAAACCCGGCAAACCCTACTCCTTGCAAACCCGAAACCCTAAACCCTACACTTCGTCAGGGTTCAGGGTGCTCCGGAGCATCAACGCTACACACTATGAACCGATGAATGTAAACCCGAAACCCTAAACCCTAAACCCTACACCATAACCCTAAACCCTAAACCTGTTTCGGGCTCGGGGTGTAGGGTGCGCCCTTGTGCCCGGAGCGCCTGCGGGCCAAGAGGAGCCCTTCGTAAACCACCAGAACTTGTGGTACTCCTTGCCGCCGACCTTGATGGAGCCGTAGAGACCGTGCGCGGAATCTGCCTCCAGAGTCGCCCTAAACCCTACACCCTAAACCCTAAACCTTAAGCCCTAAACCCTACACCCTAAACCCGTCTTTCATGGCAAGCCCGAAAACCCTAAAACTCCCGCTGCGTCCAACTCCACCGAAGATTCTTCAGGGGGGGATAGGGGGGGGCAGCTTTTCCATGGAGGGTCAGGCCACCCACACAGCGTAAACTCACGGACCATAGGCGGTTTCGCACAGGACATCGGGGCTCTTTTGGAAAAACCCACCCACCCCCCGCCCCCCCCTTACCCCCCCCCCTACAAGGAAGCGGCTGCCCCCTGCCCCTCTCCCCCCAACACAGGTGCTGGGGCTGGCCTTTGTTCAACGATTGATGTCCCCCCTACCCCCCCCCCCCCCCCCCCCCCCCAACGTTTCACAGAGGCTCAAGCGTTTCACAAGTTTCGGGACTCTGCCGAGCAGGCATCCTTTGAGCCGACGAGCGGGTTTAGACCTTTCAACTATGCTCCAGCCGGGTCGGCGGCTCGAGCCGGAGGCTCTTAAATCCGGGCACGCCCGTGGTCCGACGCCGTTAGGCGCCAGCCCTAGCTTTAGCCACCCCGGGGCCGCCGACCCGGTTGGCTCGACAACATCCGGCTCCAAATTCGGCTTCCGGCGGGCATCACGTTTTGGGTACCTTTTTCATCGCGAAAAACGCGCTATTCCCCACCGAAATTGGGCTCCCGGACGCATTTTTTGGGTGCACGGGGGGTCCCAAAAAACGACCCCGGAGAGCATCATCGACTCTATTTTTCAACTTTTGCCGAAGACGCGTTGTTGATGTTTTTTGGGGGGCATCGGCCACCCCAAAGGGCCACAAGAGCGCATCATGAGCATCAGCGGGTTGGGTCTCGGGTTTCGGATGCGGCTGAGAGCTTGAAAAACGCGGAAAACACTGTAAATACCGTGGTTTTCGTGCCTTTCCGTTTTGAGGCCGACATATGCCCCCAGAAGCCGGAGGCCGGAGCCGCTGATGCTGATGATGCGCGGCTTCGTTTCTCCTTGGGGATGCGGGGGGCGAGCATCAGCAGCATCAGCGGCTCCTGGGGGGAAGGGGAAGGAGGGTTTAGGGCGGCAAGACTTCGAAGGACGCTGCCATAACATGGCACTCGGCGAGCCAGCCCCGCATACGCCTCCGCGCGCGCTGTGGTTGTGGTTGTTGTCGTTGTGGTTGTTGTTGTGGCTGCTCCGCCCGGGGCGTGCCCGCGACAGGCCCTTTAGAATACAACTGCACAACTCCATACTGAGCTTGTGACTTTGCAGCGGGACCGTCCAAAGTCTCCACCTCAGGGAGGGGGGGTGGCAGTCTAGATCCGGCAATGGCCAGGCCTCCTTGCAGCACACAATCCGGTACACTGTACTTTGACCGTCATGCTCCCCACCCCAAATGGAAGGCATTGGTCCAATATTACTTTGAATGACCACGGGCCTGACACGCGCAGGTCAGGGCCTTTCCCCTTCTCATCTTTCTTGTCCGCCATCAGGTACTGGGAAACCAAGCCCTTCTCAGAGCAGATTGCCTGGTTGAGCCCTCAAGCTGTAACATTTCGGCTGCTTGAAGGCAAGGATACTGAGATTTCTGTCTGGGCATGGTAGACATAGTGACTGAGGTGCACTTGGGGCCATGATCTTATCTCCCAAACATTGTCGTCCCTATCATCCCTAAATTTCAATAAACTGACTGAAAGCCTTGCCATGAGAATCGAAACGGCAGAAACAATAGTCTTGGCACGCCCCGCGAATAATACCGTGCTCAATATCTCACGAATTCAGGATTCAGCTGAAACACGCGTGTTGAATTCGGGAGCTTATGTAAGATTCTTGGAGTCCTTCTAACAGATGTCATTCTGGGGCGCACAAGGGGACCCCAGATGTTATCAATCTCCTGCCTTGCCCGTGGAGATCTCCCGTTCTTCGAGCTCGCGGTCCCACAAACTTATCCTGGAATACTCGCACTGGTGGTAGCCGAATCGCATCGCCCCCAGCTCTTTGCGGAAGCGAGTGCAGCCGCCGTGCTGCATGACTCGTTTACCGTCCACGTACAGTTTTGCCCAGTCTCCATTGAAAGCAAGGACAATCTCGTGCCACTGACCGTCCTGTACCGAGGAAGCATGATGACCATAGTTGAAACGGTGAACGCCACGGTCCCAGCAGAACATCTTGAACTTCTTTCCATGGTCGCGGACGGAGAGGTACGCAGTGTGCGACCCAAACAGAGAGGCTTTCTGTTTGTCGGTGGCCTCGCACAAACCAACCAAACGAATGAATCAACTACTGAGGACCCGGCGCAGCGCTGATCGACCAGAGCCTTGTAGCGGAAAGCAATAGTAGCTGGCGACCAACGTGGCTTCGTGCCGGTCGCATCCCACCTCATGAAACACGCTGGAGTCGCTGCACGCCACCGCCATGAGAGGCTCTACAGGTTCGATTGCGCGCGTTAACCGCCGATACTAAATGCTACACTCTACACACTTGTGACACATGGCCCAGTTGCAGCTTGGCGGTGACGACAGGCAAAGTTTGCCATTGCCACACCACTTCTGCGCACCAGTCTCTGGGCGCTGCGTTTCTTCTGCACATTGCAATAACTGATTGAGGTAGGGGCTTTGGGTCTTGAGACCCCTGCAAGCTCTTTGCATGTACAGAACACCATTTAAGGCCATGGCCAAAAACTGTTGCTCTTCGTGATGCTCTTCCATCTCGCTGGACAAGTGCCGCATACCTGTCGAGCAACAGATCAGGCGTTGCAATTCGTACCCTCTAGGACTCTACGATGCACTACGAGAACCTTGAGCTGTAAGGTCTATGCTATAGGCCTGCACATGAGGGTCTGTGCAAAATCAACACAGGACCTGTACCTAAACAAGTCTCGAATAGACCTATGCCGAACTTTTGCGAACATTGCAAGATGTCTGTATGGACACTATACAACGCTAGTTGACTGAACCCTACATGATATCCTTCTTAGGGTCTGCGCGAAGATGGCAACATCTCGAAGCAACATTGTAGTCCCAACAAACCAAGCCACTAAGCCTAGCCTATGTCGACCATATAACATCCCTGCGCGACTCCATATTGCATTGGTGCATGAGCGTTTCCTGAGCTTGTGGCTATGGCTTCCCAGCGACTTTGCCATCATTGCATGAGGAATGTTGGCTCTCGGGATCTATGATGCAGGCGTCCGATTGAAGTGTCTGAATTCGGGACGTTCGGGAAAGTTGGGGTTTTGTACTTCGGGTTGCTTCCACCGACGCCCTCCTGAAGCGTATGAGAAACCAAGACGCTTTAAAAAAGCCAAGACGCAGGTTCCTCGCCGGCCGAGACCTGGATCACTTATGTCTCATGTCTCTATTCCTTGTGTCACTTGTGGGTCGATGGAAGTGTTGGCATTTAGAGTTTAGGGTTCAGTGCTCAGAATTTATGGCTTCCTGGAACCGAAACCAGGTTCTGTTCAGCAGCAGGGCTATAGAAACAACTTGCAAGCACGACACGACGGGCAGGTCTCCTAACCTCCGCAGCGACCCAGCAATGCTCGCAGCCGATGTCGCCGGCATGACAGGTGCCATGATGCATCTCGGCCGAAAACCCTTTGTTGCCAGCCTTTCCGGTTCGATTTCAGGGCGTGGGCAGGGTGCAGTGACTCAAGCCTCCCTGGTCTCCGGAAGCTGGGCTTGCGTCGCCGTGTCGGGCACTGTTCGGCCATTCCCAGACCCCCCTATGAGGGGGGGTGAATTGTCTTGGATAAAGTCGGGGCTTGTTTCCTGAGCTCCATGCCTGAATTCCGCCCCGTTTCCCGAATGCGTCTGCGTTCGCTACCCGCTGCTGCCAGCCTTCGGGCGTTAAATCCGAGCGGCCGTCATATTGCGGTAGTAGAGAGTGAGGCCATGGTCCATCCCAAGAGCAGAGCACCTTTCCAGGAGCTCAGATGCGCAAGGAAGCTTTAAGCGGTCTGCAAGGCTTTCGAAGGCCCACGACTGAACCGACTGAACTTGTTACATAGTGGGTGGCCTCCCAGTGTGCGTACTTCGGGAGGCCTCAAACGCCTCAACTCCCTGCGAACATCCACTTCTAGGGGTGGTCGAGGCCTCAACTCACTCCGAACTGCGACTTCTACCAGCTTTGTAAATCTCAGAATCTTCTAAAACTCAAGACTCTGCAAGAGCTGCATCTCACCACATGACGACTTGATCAATGAAACGGTTCACTCCCAGAGTCCCAGGCTGCACCTCGCGCTCTCCTTAGACTCTCAAGGATGCGGAAACGCCTCTCAGCATTTGCTCAAGCTATGCGGCCCTGCCAGATCTTCATGCCGAGCCATCAGGCAGGCTTGCGGTTTTGTTATCAACTGCGGCTCGAAACTAGGAAGATAACATGTGCCTTTGGAGACCTGTTGAACAGCTTTGGTTCCTTTCCTTGCTGTCAATGTGATGTGGCCGTAGAACTGGGCAAGCGGCAGGCTGGAGTATTTGCAAGCAAGGCGGAGCGTTGAAGCTCTCCAGCTCGTTTCAGTAAGCTAGGATGGAGACTTCCCTATGGACAGATGGGAGTGTTGTGCTGTAGCAGGATTCTCGCATATTCTCACGTTTGCACTCGTGCTGTTGGGAGGTTCCTCCGATCAGAGGAAGCGCAGGGTGAGCAGGGGCTCTACATTTCCAGCCTGCGGTTAGGGGCTGCGGTGCGCCGATGCACCGCTTTCATCTGGTGAATCTGGTGTGGAAAAGATTGGGAAGGGCGAAAAAAAACAGTGCCGACGCCCACAGGACAGCGCAAGGAAGAACCCAAGAAGCCCGCAGAATCAAGATTCCCACCGGCTAAGTTGCAACTGCGGCTCCTTCACCGGCCCCATGTACCTGAGCTTTGAACCCCCGGATTGCCTCGCAGCTGTCTCGGGTTTCGGCCATCCTCACCGCTATTTCACTAGGCTCTCAATGGTTGCTGCCAGGTTGTCAGTATTGTGCTGTTGTGATCACGAGACCATCTCCCCCAGCCACAAACCATGAGACTTAAGACTTAGGGTTTGCACAAAAACGCATTAGACAGATTCCCTCTCTGTGTACATCTTAGGGCCGATGGTAATCTTACTTCTTGGGACTATTTATCCCACTTCAACATGATGAACTTCTCGGGCTAACAAAAGGCCCGTGTCAACTGCATAACCTGCTCCCCTGCAAGAGAAACGCAAGGTGGATTTGCAGCCGCTGCCATCATGATCCAGCAGGAGGGATTTCGTCTCGCCTTGCTGGTGATACCTGGGCACAGCTGAGACTTGGCATTATCCGACGTCTAGAGCTCCGGCGTCAGGTTCCTTGTCAAGGCTAAGAGCTCCGTTCAGGGCGACTGATAGGCACCCAAGTACCTCCCAAATTCTTGGCGTTTCGGCTTGATTGTCAGAGCCTGGGTCAGCTCAATCCGGAGACTCAGTAAGATGCCGTCACCCCTGAGTATTTGAAGGGGTTTCCAAGTTGCATGAAGTGTTGCTGCTTCTCTTGCGTCGCGGTGCCGGTCAGCGCCTGCAGAAGTCAACTTGCCAAGCCAACCCCCCAGATGGGAACTGCATGTGGTGCACCAAGGCTGACCTCATTGAACGGTGGAGCCTGGAAAAGTGCGCTCCACCCCCCACAATCTGACCCTAAGCCAGCGTTTCTGACAAGCACCACGGGAGCTCTCTGATTCGGGTCGCCTGTGTGCAATGTGTGCTACAGTTCATCGTTTGCTTGGCGACTAAGCCATCTGTGCTGCCTAAAACCCCTTACATTGCTGCACAAGCCACGACATAGAAGGACACAGCAGGATCAAAAATGCGCAACACCACCGAAGGGAATGATGCGGTGTTCACAGTGCTCATCTGACTGCGGCTGGCGCACTTCAGGATTCCAAGCATACCCCTCGAGGCCGTCCGTGGTGTTGCCATCCCTTGGGCTTTGAGGCTTCAAGGCGGCTTCGTTTGAAGAGCTTCTTCGTGTCTGAAGGTGTAGGGCTTGCGAAATATTGCGGAATTAAGGTCAGGGAGCATCGGGATAACAACTCTTCTCAGAAGCTGAATCTTCCGAATTCCGAGCCACCGTACGAGTGGGGACATCAGCTGCTGAGGTTCAAATTCCACATGCCTAGTGCGAGACCCGGTCGCCGCATTCAAAGTATTTCGCGTTGATAGCTCTAGAAAACTCATAGAGCTGAGGTGCCAGTAAGAACAGGCCTTGGTTCAAACGGTGCTACGGTGCAACAGCATGAACACAGAACCTTAATTTGTGGCCCGGCGTCCGCAGTGCTGCGAAGGCGGCCTGACTCACTGCGTTATCGTTGAACCTTCCAGCACGGGGGTCCGCATCCTTCTGTGCTTGTTTAACACTGCATGCAACAACCCCGAGTAAGGCGGCCGTAGATCTGAACAGAGCAGAGGCGTGCGATCGCGCAGTACTAGGGAAATGCCCCTATGTGCCTGTCAAAGTATGTACAGTAGTTTCCGCACAGTGTTAACAGCCTTTACCTCAGTCGCCGGGCTGTATGAGTGTTCAAGTCTCGATGCGGCCGATGTGGGCCAAGAAGCTTCCAAATCCTTCGGTTGCCCAAGCCATCCTCGGCGCGCATGTCCGTGGCTTTGCGGCTTCTGCTTGAGGGCGACGGGTTAAGGGATGCTAAGGGAACCTGGTGGAACGCGTACAAATCGGTTGCTGCATAGGCTGCGAAGTGTGGTCAGGTAAGAAACAAAGACCAGAAGTGATCACGGCACCTTTTGTCACTGGATATGTTGCTGTACATTTGCTGTACCATAGATTTCAAGGTAGGTCAAGAATGATGGCTTTTTCAAGCAGTAACGAAGGTTGCAATCTTATGCTACCATCATGTGTAGCGTGATCCTTTCTCCTTCTGGACTGGCACAAAGACCAGTATGCGAGTCACGTAGTTCACAAGTAGCAAACATGCTAGAAACTACAAGGAAATACAGGCCATGATCCAGCACGAACTTTGGGGGGTGACAAGACTGAATGGGTGTGGCGACTGAGGCATCCGTGCCTGCCCCGTTCGGTGGCCCATTTTCTGATCAACCCGTCTCAGAGCCAGTACACACGCTCATTATGAAGCCTTGCTAGCCTTTACTGACTCTTCACAATTTCAGTAGCTATCAAGCAGCCGTAACTTTGGAAAAGCATCGATGGCCAACAGCTCCCCCGCTTGCATATCCGCGGGCAGCCTCTGGAAGCACACGGCATCCGTGGCTTTGCAAGCCCCGAACATGTCACCCAGCACGTCCGTCTTGCCTTGGCCAGGATGCGTTGAAGGTCAGGCACCAAGCTGAAGACATAGAAAGAGCATGCTACCTGAGGCTTTGACAACATGGACAGAATGCGGACATGCCCTCTCTCTGCAGGGTGGCCACTTGTCGGCCAGGAAGTTCGCGGCGGGTACCACCAAAACTTCTCGAAGACCTTCCCCTCAACTTCCACTGCTCCGTAGGATGGGGTGGCAGGCACCTCCTTGCTTGCCTCCAGGGTGGCCCGCAAGCCAGGGGAGCTGCTTCGACGATAAACAAGGCTGCCAACCGCCCCAACCCGATCCTATCAGCTTCGTCACACCCGACTTACCAGGCTGTGGCACTACGGCCTGCCCAAATAACACCAAGCTGCTTCATGTGAAATACCGGCCTGACATTGCACGCCAGCGTCTTGCTTATGCTCGCACGAAGTCTTACCCCAGCCTGGCACAGAAAGCCGTGATGGATGCTCTGTCGACAGCAAAGGTCTCCGACAGGCATATGGTTGTTGATGAAGGATTTGAGACAGGTCTGGCAGAAGCCAAAAAATGCAGCCCAACAGAGTGAAGCCCCAGAAATCCACGCTAAGCTAGATACATGCCGTTACACGGAGGAGCAAGGAGAAAATGTATAAGTCGCCACCATAGCTGCCTTACCATCGGCGGTGAGGACGGTTGGGGGCAGTGGGGGCAGTGAGGGTTTGGGCTGCGCTGGAGAGAGAGCGAGCGCGAGAGTGAGAAAGAGGGGTCCGAGGGGTTCGAGAGAGGTCGGAGGGTTCGTCGAGAGAGGCACTGAGACCAGAAACAAGGCATGGGCAGCCTGAAAGATACCTCAAAACCCTGACAAGTGAGCACAGCAACAGGTGAAGGAAATGTAGAGAAACGTGCATGCAGAAGGAAACAGTGGATAGAAAGTGGGGAGCCGAACTACACCCTGCGGTCTCTGCATGTCTCTTTCCCAGCCTGCAAAAACGCAGGCATCAAGAACATCTTCGGTGCCAAAGCACTGGAGAGCATCCATCCATATGGTGCCTTTTCCTGCCAAAAACGCCAAAGGTATTACGACCAAACAGTTCAAACAACCGACACCCACTCATGGCAGGTGCTCAGACTTGCAAGACTTGCATCTCCCTAGGCCTAGCTTCCCAGAAGAAGTTTGCAGCTCTCAAACAAACTCGGAGTGGCATGGCAAATCAGAATGTCCTTTGCCAAATCCCAAGATGGCCTTGCCACCGAACCTGCCAAAAGCGACGGCTAGGAGCTGGAGATTGAAAATCGGCCAAGTGCTGCCTGGACTGTAGCCTATAGACCTGAATTGGCAGATACATCAAGCATAAAAAACAATGGGTCTTCGACTCTCGGCATTCTTGGCGCGTTCAACCTCCCCCGAGACAGCCCAGGAACAGCCCTAGCTCTCGGCAAACCACTTGCGCGTCCAGCTCGCTGAAAGCCTGCTTCGGATGTATGCACATGGCAACATATCACGTTCGACACACGCGCAACTGGCTGAAATGAAAGCGGCGCGCACTTGAACGATCTGAGACTGCCGAGTGAAGGCCAATCACCCGCACTAACCCCATATCTTTTGAAAGCTTCAAAAAGTCAAACAGTCTGGCTTTGCAGATGAAGGCCAAGAAGCATTGCCACAAACCGTGCCCCACTTGTGATCGTGATAGACCTGCAAAGGAGTTCCAAGATACATGTTTCCTGCAACTTGACCGGTCAGTAAAAGAATTGCTATGGATCGGCCCGGACATCTATCCAGGAACTGGATGTGTCAACTCAAAGCAAGGGGGGAAGACCCAAATTCTAAGATGCAGCCAACACGTACCCACCTCAACTCGTCCACGGCTTGCATTCCCATCTGCCAAGCGCACAGGTACCTTCCAGACTATGGGTTGAGGTGAGATGGACTATAGTCAGAACTCGCACTCCTATATACCATGCCATGGAATTTCTCCACTTGCCAGTCTCATCAGAGACAGCGCTATCTTCTGTTTGTTGCAACATGTGCGTTGCCCTCCGGTCTGAAGTGGGATCTGGCAGTTGGCAAACCAAGGCGCTCCGAAACGCCGTCGAAGCGGCGACGCAGTGTTTGAGTCGAGTGGGGCCAAAGGCGACTCGAAGCTGGAAGTGGAATGCAATGGTCACAAGCTGAAGAAGGTCTGCTGCATGCGGCTCTGAGGCGAGTCGAGCTCTTGGCCGCGGCAGGGTTCCCAAGGCCTACAAAAGAGCCTGAGTGTGGCTCCTGGCGGCAGGCTGAACGGGCTCTACCTCGTGGAATGGGACCAGGCCTCTCGCATTCAAGTCTACGGAGAAGAGCGGGGCACTGGGCACCACGAGCTGAAGGGACGGCCCTATGAACGCGGAAGAAGCCGCCTGGTGTCCTTGTTCTAACTCCTCGACTAAGAGAAGGAGACACAGCAGGAGCCCATTGGCCCTCTGCATCACCTCGTGACAAGGTCACGTTGCAGTCTCAAGATCTATGCTGACGGAGGCCAGCTGAAGCCCAGCACCTCAACGGGACATGACTCGGCTGAGGTAAGGGCTGCAAACTCCACGTTAGCGAGTCAAAGGAGGAGGGTATGGCAAAGCCGTGGGTGATATGTACCCTATCAAGAGCACACGGCAACGAGGGGCTCGGAAGCCTTGCGCATGGAGGATGGACAGGCTGAGGCTTGGTGTGGGGTCAAGGCGATCAAGCTCACCTCTCAAAGTGGCAGCCGCCCAACACGGACAGACTGCGATAGAAACCAGTACGCCAACACATGTATCAAGGCGCGAAGGCCAAGGCAATCGCCTGTCGCCTCTGAAACACCTGGCTTTGCCCTTCCAACGGTACTCTGGCTCAGTGGGACCAACGGACCCGGCTGTGGAACTGACTGAAACTGAGGGTGCTGTGAACGACCTCTGAATAAGGCTGTGCCTGGGAGCAGTAACGGAGATTTTAGCTAGGGGTGGATGCTATGGGGCCTGAGCCCACGCTGAAAGAGGATGCACTGGCGAGAGCTCACGCGAGAACTCGACTGCGGGGCGGGACTGGTCCTGATACCCCTAAGCCTAATCTGACGACCCTCAATTTGCACAGTGAGGTCAAGCACATCTTGATCACCCATGCACTGTAGCCGGCTAAGCGACGGCGCCTGGCCTGAGGTTGATGCTGGAGACTCGTGGTCTGATCCAGCAAGGCCTCTTTTGCGGACAACTGGCTCGGGTTGCCAGAAGCCCCTAAAGAAGCAGAAAACCACCCAGGCACCAAAACCAAAACCAGCGACGGCACCCAAAAGGAAGAGGAAGGCGCGCGAATGCCAGGACAGTCCACAATGGAACGGGCACCACAGCCAAGTCGCCTCTCGAAACAAAGCAAGGGCCATCAAACAACCCGCAACCCTTGCTGTCGATTCTTTGAACCAAGGCAGCAAACATACATGCTCGTTCTTACTGCACAGGAAAGAGCATGAGATGAGCTGGGCCGAGTGCATGATCGAGATGGTGATGACTGGCGGTGGTGCTGATGATGGTGACGATGATGACGACGATAGCGGCGACGGCGACGACGACGACGACGACGATGATGATGATGACGACGACGACGATCATGAAAGTAAAAATCCACTCGGCTCCTGTGAAGATGTGGGAGTGAGGTGCTAGCGAAGCTTCATCTCATTCTCTGGACCCTGCCACGCGATAAATCGAGATCGTATCTTCACCGTCTCACCACCTCCCACCCCCGCCGCCAAAGGCAGCCAGTGCACGAAGTCGCTGCGCTCTTCAATGCCCGCACAATGCTGCACGGTATAGTTACACATGTTTGCGTAATGTAAGATTCGAGCCTGGCACTCCACAGCAACATCTTGCTGGTGGTCGCAGTTGTGCTTGGCCCAACCTCTCGTCTCGGCAGGTGATGGGCTATTAGAGGCCCGAAGTGAGAGAACATGAGAGAAGAATCTGGAGCTGCGAGCCTGGGAAGGGGCATGATTTGAAGGAGCTCTCGCTTCCGCGGCACGCCACCTCGGCCATCCAAATGGTGCCTTTACCTGACAGCGGGCACACGACATCTACACAGGCGACCGAAGCGACTTTCTCAACCCCTGCATACCTGAGGGTCTTTGCTATAACTTCTATACATATTCGGTGGTTGCAGTTGAACTTAACATGATGGGTATCTGCTGAGCCTGCTGGCAAGTGTCCGCTCATCTTGTCCTTCAGGACTTTTCCGCCTGGAAAGCCCAGCTCACGGCACAAGACCTCCGCGCTGTTGTCGGTAAAGCCCTTGGCAATCTGGGCGATGAAAATGCCAATCGGTACAAATTTTGAGTCTTGCATAAACAATTAGCCCCGCATCTTGGGTACCTAGGCCCCTTCAGGTATGCCTGAGCCCTGGGCATTGGTGGCAGCCAAACAAAACCCAGTTAGGCACATTGAAATCACCCCCGCTGGCCTTGTTGCAGACAGTGCCCCACTTGTGGTGGTGGTACACCTCCACTCTGCCACGATTTCGCTGACCACCACCAGCCAATCGGATTTGTACCTCCACGGCAGCAGATCTCCCCACCCCCTAGAATGCACATTATGCCGCTGCAGTCAAGAAAAGCGCTGTAGTTACCACGACGACCATCTCTTGTGATGGACTTATGGCCGTCGGCCTGGGGGTCTGCCGGCAGCTTCAGGTCCTCACAGACGAGGCCGGAAGGGTAATGGTCCAAGCGCCAGTCGTGCAGACCAGCGCGCTGCTTGGACTTTTCATTGCCAAAGCCGAAGCCGACAATCTCCGCATCCCCAGCGTTTGACATCCACTGGCTTGTCTGCCAGCGACCACTCCTATAGGCCGTCGCAAGCAGAGCATCCAACTCAGAGGAGGCATTGCTCAAGTCGAAGTAGCTGTTCTTCCTATCATGTTCAATGGCCAATCCAATTGGCACCCCTCTTGGCTGGCTCAAGTTTAGCCCAGACCTCTTGACAAAGTCGTACACAACATCAAGCTCTTGTACAGAGCTAACGGACACAGGCTTCAGGCCGTGTGCTCTGCACTGCTTGTGAGCTTCATGTAAAAATGCGTTGCCAGCAACAGACTGGAGGCCTTCCTTCAGAAGAAGGTATCTTGCCTTGACCTTGCAATGGCTATTGTCAGCTTGGGTTTCCGGTCCTTGTCCGAAGGACGTAGGCAGTGGACCACTGATGTGGCTGCAGCCTCCAGCCATTCGCCAGGAGTATCCCACGCAGCTCTCCTCGACTGTGCATGCGGCCTCACATGCTTCGGCAGTTGCAGCTGACTTTGTCTGCGCAGAAGCATCGCAGCCTCCTGTGGAAGCGATGTAACTCAGCTGCGTGTGAAATCTGCAGTCGTTCGTGCAGCCCCCCCAACGGAAGGTGGTGCCATCATCACAGGTTTCATTTCCCAGCACTAAGGAGTCACCGCACAGGGGGCTGCAGTGGGGTTCAGGCGATGTGCTGCACCCCCATCCCTCCGAAACCTGGCAGGCTGCATTGCAGCCATGCAGGTATGTGCTTCCTGCAGCAGATACAGCATCGCACTCCTCAACGCCAGAGATGACGCCGTCTCCGCAATGCGGCGTGGGGGCATGAGCAGGGCATGTCCAGACCTTTGTCGGATTCTGTATTTTGTAGATCACAAAGGTGCTGCCGGCCACAGCCCGCGGCCGAACTCCAACACCTCCCTTCTGGGAAGCCAAGAATCCATTCCTGGTGATGTTGCTTCCCAGCAAGACTTGCCACAGTTGGCAATCATCCTCTGAACCTGCGCAATGGAAGCCAAAGCGGAAGCCGGCCGTAGTTCTCTTGGCCTTGAACGACAGACTTTGGAATTGCTGTGATACTGGCCAGACGTGCAAAACATCGTCCTTCTTTGGGCTCATCGCCTTCTTGAAGGCATCGCGGCTGGGCAGGACCACATCGTGACGAACCAAGAACTTGCCACTCTTCACAGTGCCAAACACGTATCCAAGTGCTCCACCGCATGCAGCAATCACATCTTCGGCTGTCGGGGAGACCCTGCCAGCCTGAGACGTGTCCCAAGAAAAGCAAGGTTCCGTGGTCCATGATGGTGAGGCGCCAGAATCTGCTCCAACTGCATCATTGCAGTCGCAGCAACGCTTCACGTCGTCGCTGCCGCAAGTGGTGGTCAGGCACAAACGGGATTCCATCCAAGAGGCAGGCTTACACCCGGCTGGACACTTGTAGCCTGCGCAGGACGCAGTCCCATCGAGGACTGGCACCGGTGCTCTCAGCGCGGTGTCGGGATTGCCCTGGTGCAGGACAGGGTGCTCCAAATTCATCTGCAGCCCTTGGGAAAATATAGTGTGGCGATGGTTTTGGGGCCTCCTGAACTTTTCGAAGGCATCTTTGCGCGTGCACAGCACTTCAACCTGGCATTTGGAGGAGCAGCCATCGCCCGATAACACGTTTCCGTCGTCGCAGCCTTCCTGGCCTGCCAAGATGCCATCTCCACAAGTAGTGACGCATGGAACAGCCGGTGTCGTACATGTAAAGCCCGGCTCGATGGACCGGCAATCTGCTCGGCAGCCATCCCCGGTGATCTGGTTGCCATCGTCGCAGGCTTCCCAGGCATCAACGTGGCCGTCTCCGCAGAACTTCTCAGACTGCAAGCTCTGCAGGCGCTGGTTCCACCTGAGTCACACACACACTATCACCCATTGTCTGCGTAGATGCTTTAACGACCATCTGCATCCCTCAGCGCCAAATCAGACAGAGCCACCGGTGAAGCTTGGGAAGCATGATAGGCTTGCTCAACGGCGACCAGAGATCGATCGGTGTGTCTGATGCACCATCGCAGATACCCATCCTGGACGGTGCTTGGTCTTCTAGGTATTCAGAAACTAGTTCTTGGAACTCTGGCGACAAGTTCATGACCTCTCCTGTGTCGGCAGGTCTTGCTCACGGAGCCGGACGAGCTGACGGATGCGGCGCAGAAGCAGAAGGCCCGGTTGGGCAACTGTGAAGCTGCCACATCCGAAGGTTGGAGAACCTGGTAAGCTGCTGCCTCAGTTGCGCTTGGAACGCCAGGGTCAGTCGTTCATGAAAGTCCAGTCCCGGAATTAGGGGAGGGGGTTAGCACACGTACAATTAATATTCAAAGACATAATTGAATTATTTTTGCTTCGAATTATTCTACATTCATAACATTTTTCTGCATATATATATATATACCAGACACACGTGGGTGTGGGTGTGGGTGTTGGTGTGTGGGTGTGTGGGTGCGCGGCGTTGCAACATGTCAACCAGCGTTGTGCAACAGAGGAGTGACGCAACATAAGATTTCACATAACTGTTCATTCGTCCACTCGTACTTATGCCAGTGTTTGCGCAGCATCGTGGAGCGATCATTTGAATGACCATAGAATACATACACAGAATGACAGGAATACACAGGATCGGCTTGACCAAGGAGGCTGGCGGGGAAGAGACTGCAATGTCCAGGTGACATACTGCGAAACATGGCATGGTTTGCCACCAAAGCATCGCGCGCATTGAGGGCTTTGCCAGCATGCTGCACGTGCAACCAAAGCGCATCAGTCTTGAGTTTGCATCCCAGCACTTGGCTGGGCAATTGGCTGTTGACATCCTTGAGGTCGGCTGGGATGGGCTTGCGAACGTCAACTTCCCAGCCCGAGTGCACTCCTGCATCAGCGTGCTTCACGCAAGGACTCAAACTGCACACAGGATCATGCCCCTCACCTTCCCAAGACAAGGACCGCGATTGGGGTCTTGGGGCGCATTAGCTTCGGCGTGCGCGGTTCTACAACGCCCCACTAGCTCCTGCGTCCAGCAAGAGTGCCTCAGGTTGTTGGAGCACCACAAGCAGCTCACCTCAAGGGCAGCCACTCCCTGAAAGACTTCGCAGTAGCAAGAGGCTGACTTCACGCAAACCTCCACAACCCACGCCTCCCTCATCCAAAGGCACGCGGTCCCAGGCCACCAGAGATGTCGTGGAGACTGATGGCATCCGCTGCAAGATGGCAGAGACGCAACCTCAGCGGTCCCTCGCCACCCAGGGATGAAAGTTCCGAGGAACTGAACACTGGAGGAGCTATACTGGCATCACATGTATCTCACGAAAGCCAAGGCGCTGGACGGAACAGGGCAAAGCTGTGGGAGGCTTCGACCCAAGAGCTTCCGGTGAAGGATCAGCAACTCATGCGACGGATCCTTTGACGGAAGTTCGAAGCTCTGCAAGATGGCGCCGAATTCACGCACGATGCCGGACCACGCCACGGCGACCATCTCCACAGACTGAGGTCCAGCGGGAGCCGTGCGCCTGCTGATGGTTTGCAGCGCCACCAGCCAATCACGTGTGCCATCAATCAGTGTGGAGAGAGACTCCAGAGTCCTTGATGCGGAGTCCTGAAGCCACAATGAACCCAAAGCTTTGCTTCCTATCGTTTCCTTTTTTGAATTTAAAGGTAGTCCTGAATCACCCCGCGCACGATGCTCATGGAGTCCGGTGAGAAGTACTGGCGACACAGCACTTGCTGCTCCTCCACTTTGGCAGAGCCATTCCTGAGGTGACCATCTTCACGCGACTGTCAGGAAGCCGTCGGGGTTACTGCTATTGTCCCCACATACCCAAACTTCAGATGGGAGTTGTCCTAAATTCTGGTACCCTTTATGGCACACTACATCTTAAGGAACAGCGACTAGATGGACCCGAATCTGGCGAACTCCCCCTCCCCAGATTGCACGGAAGACTCGTCAACTGCTCCGGCTTGATGGCAATCAGCGACTTTTCCTCGGCGGGCTGTTTGCAACTTAACGTTTCAGGAAAGCTACGCATAACAACAGCATGGCCTTGATATCTAGACTTGATACTCTGCTTAAGCTCAGTATCTCGGACACTGGCCCTACAGCCCTACAGCCCGACAACAAGGTGGCCGGGCGACTGCAAGGTTGTCCCAAAGCCATGTTCTCTGTATTGTATAGGGTTTGGGGCTTGGGGCTTGGGGCTCGGGGTTTAGGGTTTGGGGTGCTGAGCAACTCAGCAGGATCTAGGGGTCAAGTTTGCAGCCGAGCCCTGCACGTACGCACCATAACATATTTCACATACCATAACACACCGTAGCACACCGTGATCTTTCATAATGCACGTGATATGCTGTAGCTACAGTAGTACTACTGTTGCAACAGATACCTACAGATACGTTAGACCTTGATGGCCAGCCCAGTCTCGACCAGGCGCCTCAGCAGGCGGCTGTCGCTAAGCACCCTTGAGAGCAGGGCCATCGCATCTCGTGCCTGAGAAGTTTTTGTGCTCAAGCTTTAAGGCTTGGGTACAGCACCGACTAAGCAGGCTTGCTAGAAGTGCGCAACTGCAACTAAATTATCCAACTGTTACCAGGCGTGGGGGGCAGCATCCCTGTTGATGCAAGGCTTTCAGATTGTTTTTCGAGTCCCGCAGCGCCTAACCCAAACTGACCCTGAATCGTAGCAAAGCAACGAAAGAATCTGCCCTAAGCCCTCCATCCCTAAGTGCATCCGGGCCTGTATCTGCAGCTCATGGAACCTTCAGAAGCAGTTTCACAAAGCAGGAAGCAGTTTCACAAAGGGCTTACCCTCAAGACCCTTGAACTCAGTCGCCCTGAATGAAGACTCTTTGGTCTCTTCTTTTTGGGCTGGTTCGGCTGGTGGCTTGTACTTACCAGCAGGGCTGTTTCTGCTTCGATCTCAAACTGAGACATTCGCACCCTGGCTCCAGCTTTGAGACAGCTTCATGTTTGGTGCCCTGCTTGCGAATGTAATCGAAGAGCGGCAAAACTGAGCCGTGTGGCTGGCGGGGATCCGACGCAAGCGCCTTCGCTGTGTCTAAAGCCGCCTGGCAGGTTCAATGTCTCACTCGTTGCAACGCTACAAAGTCTCATACACAGCCTAGCACAGCTTTGCAATCCACAATCGCAAACACCAGGTGTTGCTCAAGCGAATGCTGTAGTGAAAAATCAGAACTTGCTATGAAATTGAATGCTGGTGCGCGTCCGAGAAAAGACCTTGAAATCAGCGCGCAGATTGTGGCACAGCTTCGGTGTCGGCTACAGCACTATTGTGGAAGCAGTCGCCTGACAGGAGCACGCCACAGAAAGGAACATGGCGATTCATGGAATCTTCAACATGTTGAAAACGTTCAAAATTCAGGATGCATACCTGTCTCGACGGCCATGACAAGCGATTTAAACACCCCCAAAAGCAAGACCAGACAAATGTACAAAAACACGGATAGTAAATAAACACAGGCTCGATTTCAGTTGGCATTGTGGCATTAACGAACCAATCATTGAGGTGCACTCTAACCAAGGAAGCCTCCCAGCTGAAACGTAATTCATCAAAACATGTTCTTTAGTAAGGGTCCTGCCGTTCTAATCTAGATGTGTGTACGTATGTATGTATGCGTATAAACAGTTGCGCAGTTCTACGATGATATTAGCGTTGGAACTATGGTCTTTCTCGATCACCCTTCTAGACTGTACCTAAAGTCTGAATCTGCGCACGAGAGCAACGAACCAAGACCGCCTGCCGAAAAAAACCGAGAAGGAGGAGAATCAAGGACTGAATTGCTTCGCATTCTGCTGAGCCTTTCAAACAACGGAAGCGATAACTCTTGAAACGCAGTTAAACCATCATCCCGGAAGTCCGGAAAGGCAAAACTGGATGTCACTACTTCCACGATGAAATCTCATTCTCGGCATACTTAAAACCTTCAAATACATAAGTGGGAGGATTGTTGGATATTTGGACAGTTTTAACTTACAAGAGTCCAACGGTCTTGAGCTTTCTTCTACTGCCTGAGATTTGCAGCCTTTGAAAACCGAGAAGAGGATGGGAGACAGTGCTTTGAAACCAAGGAAGGAGATGCTGCTCACAGTTTGAGCACCGAAGACTTGGGTAAATGCATGCCAAACCTGAACTTAAGCACTGGCGATGCGGAACATGGGGTGAGGACCCTGAATCCGACTAAACCCCCAGAGGGAGACGACTGGGCAGCACTCAACAAGCGTCTTGATGAAACGCGGGTATCATGAGCAGCAGCATCAAAATTTGCAGGACCAGGATCACCATTCACTATAATGAACGTTCGTTACCGTTCAACATATCCGTGGGAATACGTAGCAGTTCCAACAAGAACTGCGATTGTGACAGCATAAGTCCCACTTCAGCGATGAGAGTAGTGGATGCAGGGCAAGTTAAGGCATGACGAAAGTAAAAAGCTACTCTGCTCAGAATATCCATTTGATGACAGCTGTTGAAACAAAGTAGCCATGCCCAAAACACACTACAATAGCACAATTGAGGCAAAAAGTCGCGATAGTGGCACTAGCGAGGACAGCATAGCGGAAAAGGCTCAGCAAGCAGACTGCGGCTAAGAATAGAAGAGACGATGAAAGCAGACCCAACCGCCGCTGCCACATCTGCGCAAGCGTAACATGTTCAGGGCCGAGTCCGCCCAGCGCCTTCTGCGACTCGACCTCCGTCCACGACACGAGGCACTGTTCATAGTCGCTCACAGCTTGGCTATACCTGGCGGTTGTTCCAAATCAAGGTGCCGCTCTCCTTCTCATACGGAGGACCCAAAAAGGACCAGAATCTGGAGTAACCTTCAGCTGACGTGGTGAGTTGGGATTGCTCTCAGGCCAAGCCTACACTTGCGACGTTCGAGGCTGGTCTGTGGGCTTCGCGGAAGCTATTGTTGTGATTCGGGCTTCTGGAAGGGGATCTGGATCTCACGAAAGCTCTGCGCATCTTTTAAACCTTGAAGGTTGACCCTAGTTCTCTCGCAAGAAGCGTGATCATGTGTGATCTGGATCCGCCCAGAAGTGCAGCAGCTGGTTCTAAGAAACATGAAGCCTTGAGAATGTCCGCCCCCATACATGCGGGGTGCAGTGCTCATGATAAGCTGAAGACGCGGAGCGGGCGAACCTGAACCCCAAACCTTTGCGAACCGCTGAAAAACAGCCAAGCTACTTCAGACCTAACCACAGAAATTGTAAATCTATACTTTAAACCGAAACCCCGGTCCTTAAACCTGAGACCCTACAAAACCCGAGGAACCCTAAATTCCGGGACCCAGCAGACGAAACCCCAACCCAGCCTTGTGCGGGACTTCTCGAGCTGATCGACCAGGTCAAACGCTGTTGAGAAGGCAGACTTCACGTGCAACATGGCAGAACCCAGCCTGTAACATGCAGACTTTGGCTAGTGTAGAGTATAGTGCAGTGTACTGTAGTAGCCATGCTTCTTTCATAACTTTAGTTTAGTATGCTACAGTACCGTGAAGTATAAACTGTCCACGCAACCCAAAGTTTGCAACTGCTAACGAGAGACCCGACGTTTTCTTAGCTTCTTGGCAGGTGCTGACCGGGGTGCCTTTTGACTTTGAGCACACAGTAGCAGGCAAAACGATCGACAGGCATGGACCCTTTAATGCAAACAACACGCGGGACAGACACCAACATCAAGTCGTCGCTTGTTGCGGAACACACAGAGGCAAACACAACGCCGGACAGATGTGGACCCAGCAGTCAATCTGATTTTGAGCACATGCAGAAGCACACACACACACACACACACACATGCGGGAGAGGCATGGACAGTGGCCACCTGCCCAGAGGCATGTGCAACATGAGACGACAACCAGGGACCATAATTTAGACCAACCGCCAGGTGGGCTTAGAGTTTAGTATTTGGGGGGGGGGGGGGGGGGGCCCACAAGGGCCACAAGGGCCATAAATCATGCCAAGCAGCATCAGCTCCAAGCTCTCTAGCTGGTGCTCCTCGTGGGTGTATGTGAACGCTGCTCTAAAGTATTGTATGACGACAAACTATATGTTGCAATGTGGACCGCAAAAGGCGTGCTTTTGTATACAGTGAAACGACTGTACAAGAAACCTTTCCAGAAAAAACGAAGACCCTAAGTCCGGAGATTTCAACTTGCGGTTCCCTTTCAGCCACGAAACTTGTGGTACCCTAGCGTGGTGTCTAACGTTGCCTTCCAGCAAAGAAACTAAGGGGGGCCAGTTTCTCAAAAGTTTGCTCAACGCACTCACATGCCACGGTGACGTGATGTCCGTGTGTGTGGAGCGCCTGGTTGTCTGTGAGTGTAGCCTAATGGTATATGCGTGCTCTCGTAAGAAACTAATCGAGCAACTTCGAGGAGCTCGAAGCCTCCGTCGGTGGGATGGAAGTTAAGAAGCTAATGGCACCCCCGACCTCCGAAAGAGCTGCTGCCTCAACATTTTCTCAACCAGCATTTTCACCGTACAGTCATTAAAAAACAACCCCTCCGACACTGGGCACATGGGCTCGCTCAGATATGGAGCACTCCTCTGAGAGCTCCACAGAGCTGTCCACGGCCGCGTGAAGTTCATCCATGCGCATGGCATTCCCCACAAGAAGGTCCGTCATGATGGCCTCAAAGCCAGAAACACTCTCCAAGCATGACCAGTGATGAAATCTATTTCATGGTGAAAGAGAACATCGAGAATCGGCACACGGCTCACGGGGACTGGCGCGAAATTCGACGCGTGCGCACACGAGCTCCTCTGATTCTACGCGGTGCCCATTTACTTTTGCTAGCCCAAGCCAGGCCCAACCAAGCATGTGGCCAAACAAGCGCCCCCAGAACCCCGGTCAGGGCAGGGAGGGCACCTGGTCGCATGAGCCACGCCCGCTTTTCACGCGGGGGGCGAGCATCATCGAGCCACAGGTGTCGGTGATGCGCATCTTTGGAGCATCACCGTTTTCGGCACCTCTGAAGCGTTTCAAGGGGGCAAGGGCGAGCATCATGAGCATCAGCAGGCTTGGCCTGGGGCAGGCGGGGGGTCTGGGGAACAGCCCGGTAGCTCGGAACCAGCACCGTCACCGGCGCGCGGCGCGTGCGCGCACACGCGTGAAAGGAGGACTCGTTCAAAGGGGGTTGTCCAATATTCTTGTTCCTGAAAACCGGCCCATCGTGGTGCTACCGTGGCCCTTTCGCGCTTTATCGCGCACGCAATAAACCCCACATTTCGGCCTTTGCATCGGTATGACTGAACGGTACATATTCACATGAAAAGTCGAGGGCTTTGCTGGTTGAGATATGTGCCTCATTACTGGGACTGGGGTATTGTGTTCAAGAGCCACAGGCAAGTTTTCGGCTTCCAGACTTTTCGCCTATCGCAGTGCTTTCGCGCTCCTTTGACGGCCACACAAGAAGAGCATATCTATCGCTTACATGTCCCCCCCTTCAGAAGTTGAAGGCAAAGCCCTCATACAACAAGAGCCTGCTTCTCGGCTCTGGGAATAACCTACCTCAACCGGAGGAGCCACGCAACATATTGTAACATCAGCATGTCCAGAACAGGAAGGGCCGGTGATCGAAATTCGTGAAACTCGTAGGGCCCTGGCCTGCTGCGCCTGCACATTTGAGATTTCCGTGTTGAAAGCCGTCTCGAAGCGCTTGATTTGACCTTCCACCTTGCGAAGACCCTCCTGCAGTTCATCGACGACACGTTGTGTGCCGGCCACGACCGTCTTTTTCACATCGCTGATATCAGCCTTTAGCTCTGTCTTGGCTGCGTTGATCTCTTGAGATGTCTTCTTGCCCAAGGTGCTGATCTCTGAGCTCACTTTGTCCATCTTCTTGCTCAGCTCCTTCCTGGATTTCTCGACACCCTTCAGGACCTCGGCCGTGCCGCGGCGGGTCTCTGCAATGACTTTGTCCTTAGCAAGACATCCCGAGGGCTGGGTTTTTGTTTCCGTAGTTTTTTCCGTTTTTTTTGTGTTTTTTTTTCTGGTTTTTTCTGGCTTGCTGGGGTTTAGGGTTTAGGGTTTAGGGTTTAGGGTTTAGGGTTTAGGGTTTAGGGTTTAGGGTTTAGGGTTTAGGGTTTAGGGTTTAGGGTTTAGGGTTTAGGGTTTAGGGTTTAGGGTTTAGGGTTTAGGGTTTAGGGTTTATGGTGTAGGGTTTAGGGTTTAGGGTTTAGGGTTTAGGGTTTAGGGTTTAGGGTTTAGGGTTTAGGGTTTAGGGTTTAGGGTTTAGGGTTTAGGGTTTAGGGTTTAGGGTTTAGGGTTTAGGGTTTAGGGTTTAGGGTGTGTAGAAGGGAAGCTCGCTGGTGCTAAAAGCACCCGGGCCGCTCGCTTGCGTTAGCATGTAGTCCCACCCCAACCACCCAAACTATTCTCATTTAGGGCTTAGGGTTCACCCCCCAAACCCCCCTCAAGGGGGGCTTTCTTGCTTTTTACAAAGGAAGAGCAGGGTGGGGCCTCCCGAGCTTTGTGGAGCCGGTCAGTGGCTTGTAGGCTTCTTGGAGCTTTCACGGAGAAAATGGAAGGTGCCCAAAACCGTCAATTGCAACACCAAAAACCCACATTTTCGGGCTTGAAAGGGCAGCAAAAACGGTCGGGGGTAGCAGGGGCCTCGGCCGGCCCCTGCTTTTCGATGCTAAAACAGAACATTGCAGGCGAGTCCCAAGCAGGGAGGGGGCCCCAGAAGAACGCGGGAGGTTTTACAAGGGTCGCAGGAAGGTCCCAGCGGGTTGGGGGGTCTCAGGACGGTTTGGCTTCTGGACGGGTCGCCACAAAAAACCAGAAATGCAGCAATTTTGGGGACATTTTCAGGGTGCAGCAGGGTGGTTTTTCAAGGTTTTTCAGAATTTTTCAGTGTTTTTTATTGCTTTTCAATGTCTTTCAGGGTGTTTCAGGGTTTGTAACCCTCGATTCTGATGAAGGGCCGCCCCCGCGACCTTTTCACAGCCTAGTTTTGGTCAAGGGGGGGTTCGTATTTTTCAATTTTAAAGGCAAAATAGTCTTTTGAGACCCCCCCTTGCCTCAAACTCCGACCCCCCCTTGAGAGGGAAAGTTTGCCTCCAAAAACACCCAAATGAGGGGGCTTCCAGGATCGGCCTGGGCCCCAGTTAAAAATGCGACTTTTTAGTACTGAAATCGACGGCTCTGGGTGGTCTCTCGTTTTCTGGATTTTTGACCAAAAGCGAGCCTTCACCGGTTTCAGGATTTCAAGTTTTTCAAGGTTCTTCAGGGTTTTTCAGAATTTTTCAGTGTTTTTTAAGGTTTTTCAATGTTTTTCAGGATATTTCAGGGTTTGTAACCCTCAATTCTCATGAAGGGCCGCCCCCGCGACCTTTTCACAGCCTAGTTTTGGTCAAGGGGGGTCGTATTTTTCAATTTTAAAGGCAAAAATAGTCTTCTGAGACCCCCCTTGCCTCAAACTCCGACCCCCCCTTGAGAGGGAAAGTTTGCCTCCAAAAACACCCCAAATCAAATGAGGGGGACCCCAGTTAAAAATGCGATTGAAATCGACGGCTCTGGGCGGTCTCTCGTTTTCTGGATTTTTGACCAAAACCGAGCCTTCACCGGTTTCAGGATTTCATATCCCCCTCCTGCCGGACTGTTTCTGAGCCTTTTTTGGGCTCCTCCCGCACCATTCTGCCAGGGGGGTCCCAGAATGGGGCCGACTAGTTCAGGAACCTCCAAGAGGTCCCACTAGTTCCAGGCAGGTCCAGGCACCCAGCGGGGTCCCAGGGAGGTTGCACCAAGGGGGGTTTCAGAGGGGTGTCATCCCAGTCTTTTGGCAGTTGGCAGGGCGGGCCTCTCGGGGGGGTGTCAGGGGGGTCCAGGGCGGTCTCAAGGGGGGCGCCAGCGGTCGTCCTAGGCGTCCCAGATCTCCACAACGCCCCAAACGACTATTTGGCAGCCTCTGCCAGCCTGGGACCCCAGGCCCCCAGGGGGGGTTTCCCCAGACCCCCCAAAAACACCAAAAGATGCAATGGCTCCAGGTTTGGGGTCCTTATTTTATTAGGACTGACGCCGGGCTGACGCTCTAGGTCTGAGGCGCAGCTAGTCACTGCCGTCTCGTCTACCGGGAGGCTTTACCCTCCCTCACCGTTCTGTGGAGACGCTCGGTCGGGGACCTCGGTCAGTTTAGGGTTTAGGGTTTAGGGTTTAGGGTTTAGGGTTTAGGGTTTAGGGTTTAGGGTTTAGGGTTTAGGGTTTAGGGTTTAGGGTTTAGGGTTTAGGGTTTAGGGTTTAGGGTTTAGGGTTTAGGGTTTAGGGTTTAGGGTTTAGGGTTTAGGGTTTAGGGTTTGGGTTAGGGTTTAGGGTTTAGGGTTTAGGGTTTAGGGTTTAGGGTTTAGGGTTTAGGGTTTAGGGTTTAGGGTTTAGGGTTTAGGGTTTAGGGTTTAGGGTTTAGGGTTTAGGGTTTAGGGTTTAGGGCGTCTCGCGCAGCGGCAGTAAGTACCATGTGTAAATGGCGCCCCTACACACCCAGAGAGGTGTGGGGGGGCGGCATGTCACGCGAAGGCATCTGTTTTCAAGGTAATCCAACAATTTCATTGGTGGGGTTGTTGCCCTCAATTCCCACCATTGAATCCGGGCGGGGGGGGGGGGGGGGTGTGGGGGGGAGGAGGGGGCCAGAGCGGGGGTCAGGGGGAATTAGGGGGGCTCAGATGACAGGGTCAGGGGTCAGGGAGCAGGGGGTCAGAGAGGAGGGTCAGGGAACCAAAAGAAGGTCGCGGGCCAGGGGGGGTCAAGGGGGCGGGGCCAGGGGTGAAGGGGGGGCCGATTTTCGGGCCGGGGTCCAGGGGGCCTCCAGAGAGGGGGGCCCAGGGGGTCCAGGGTGGTGGACTTTTGAGGGCTCTGGTCCTGGGTTCTAGGGTATTTTCATCAAGAGGAGGATCGGAGGATTGCTGTGTAAATATGGGCGCTACTTTGGTGGCCTAATGGCAAGGCGAGCCCGAGGGGCTCTCTATTCGACCATTCTCCAATGGCTCCACCCATTGTTTATCCAGTCAAGGTGTTCATCACTGCCGGATATCTTCTGGGTCGGTACGGCCGAAGCAGGCCGGGTGGGAGGGTTTAGGGTTTAGGGTTTAGGGTTTAGGGTTTAGGGTTTAGGGTTTAGGGTTTAGGGTTTAGGGTTTAGGGTTTAGGGTTTAGGGTTTAGGGTTTAGGGTTTAGGGTTTAGGGTTTAGGGTTTAACCCTAAACCCTAAACCCTAAACCCTAAACCCTAAACACTAAACCTCTCTTTCTATATATATATATATATATAAACCCTAATGGGTTTCGTGGACGAAGGCACAAATATTCGTGGGCAAGGCACAAAAATTCGTGGGCAAGGCACAAAAATTCGTGGACAAGGCACAAACATTCGTGGACAAGGCACATTTCGGATTTTGGGCCCTTGGGCAAGGCTTAAAACCCCAAAATGTGCCTTGCCCACGAATTTTTGTGCCTTGTCCACGAATTTTGTGCCCACGAATATTTGTGCCTTTGCCCACGAAATTTTGTGCCTTGCCCACGAATTTTCGGGCATGTAAATTGGTGGCAAGGCACAAAAATTCGTGGGCAAGGCATCAAAATTCGTGGGCAAGGCACAAAAATTCGTGGGCAAGGCACCAAAATTCGTGGGCAAGGCACAAAAATTCATGGGCAAGGCACAAAAATTGGTGGGCAAGGCACCAAAATTCGTGGGCAAGGCACAATAATTCGTGGGCAAGGCACAAAAATTGGTGGGCAAGGCACAAAAATTGGTGGGCAAGGAAGGCACACCCCCCCCCCCCCCCCCCACCCCCCCCCCCCCCCGACCCCCCCCCCCCCCCCACCCCCCCCCCTCACCCCCCACCCCACAAAAATTCGTGGGCAAGGCACAAGGCACGTTTCGGAGTTTTGGGCCCTTGGGCAAGGCTTAAAGCCTCAAAATGTGTCTGCCCACGAATTTTTGTGCCTTGCCCACGAATTTGCGCCTTGCCCGCGAATATTTGTGCCTTTGCCCACGAATTTTCGGCACACAAATTGGTGGCAGAAAATTCGTGGGCAAGGCACCGAAATTCGTGGGCAAGGTCGTGGGCAAGGCACAAAAACTCGTGGGCAAGGCACAAAAATTCGTGGGCAAGGCACGTTCCCACCCCAACTTTTGTATGAAGATACTTTATGGTTTCTTAATGTTATGGGATTCTCTGGTGGGTGGGTGTTATATCCGAGCCGAAAATCTGCTCGATCCGGAGCTGCTGAACCCTAAACCCTAAACCCTAAACCCTAAACCCTAAACCCTAAACCCTAAACCCTAAACCCTAAACCCTAAACCCTAAACCCTAACTTGCTTGATTGCTTGCTTGCTGGTACCGTTGCTTTTTTTCCTTGCTTGCTTGCTGGCCCGCTTGCTTGCTTGCTTGCTCGCTGGGCCAGACGGCCGGAAAAAAACTACAAAAAAACGGAAAAAAAAAAAACAACGGAAAAAACACCGCCACCCCGGAAATTGCAGGGGCAAATACTGGCAACATGTCTCTTCAGCGTTGCGAAAGATCTGAGCTGTAACCGCACAAAATTCACAGCCGGTGGCTTCCAACTCAGTCATCTGTTCGGTCAACTCTGCATTCAGGTTCTCGATCGCTTCCTTTGTTTCCTCGTGCTTCTCGTCCATCTCCTACAAAGACAAGGCTCAACCCCTCAGCATGGCAACACTCGTTTATCCTTCGGAAGGCGGCTCACTGCCCTCGGAACAGGGGGGAAAAGAAACAGGACAGACGTGCTGCTGCTTTCCACACCCCCCTCCCCGGCCCGCCCCCCTTTGCCCCAAACAGTTTTAACGCATAAAGCTTTTGTGGCCCCCTCCAGGTTAGGGATGGGAGGCTTCTTCCCTGGGCCAAGGGCTCAACTAAATGGCACTTGAACGTACTTGATTGGTCCCTTTTGGGAGTATCTCATACAATAAGGGACATGCTCTTGCAGGGACACAAAGCAGGACCATCATTTAGAACAACCTTCCTTTGTTTCCATATGGATTAAGGTTCAAGAGCATCAAGGCCAGGCCTCCCTATGCGCTGTCAACTGGGCATGGGGCATAGCAGGGCAACCCAAAGTGTTATTTCGAACACCCTGCAGGCAAAGAATTGCGGGCTCACCAACACGTCGTGTTGCTTCACTTAGCAGCTTGGCTACGAAAAAGCTCATGCCACAGAAGACAAAAGCTGGGGGGTAGCACGAGCGAATTGGGTCTCGGAACGATTCCGGGAGCTGGCCGTACTAAAGCCGGGTCAACATTCATTTGGGACTTGGAAGGATGTAACTAGTTTTTTATTGGGTGCAATAAGAGCCACAACGAGACACCACGACTTTCCCCACTCCAGACAATCGAGGTACAGAAAGGATAGAGTTCTTGGCTCTTACAAGCTCATTTACCTGACAAGGGCATCTCTCCGTGAATGGAGGGCTGCAGGGCTTCTCCCCTGTGGGACTGTGGATGGTCTAGTTGGCATCTAAATGGACTCAATACTCCTGCACATCACTCATTCCTATCAATACTCTAACTCTACTCCTGCACATCCCGTACTGCTACTTCACCAAATCTCTTTTCCTCCTACTCGGAGTATTCATATTTTTTGCAGACGACCCTCAAGTCGAAAGTCAGGGGAAAGGTTGTGAGTCGAAAGGGAAGCCCGAAACCCAGCCCTGTCCTTCAGAATTGCTTCCTGTCCGGCTTTCAATTCTTCTTGACCCGCTTGCATCTCCTCTCAACGACAGAGTACCCAAAGAAACCTAACGTTGTTGTTACTGCGGAAACTTGAACTAGCAAACTGTAGCATGTCGCTTTAAGAAATAAAACACAAAATGGCACTGCAACACGCTGCAACAAAGTAGATTAGGTACGGTGAAAGCTGCAGAAGTCATCTCCTGGCGGATTGCATCCTGTCCAGCTTTGAGCTCAGCTGTGGCATTGTTGATCAGCTCCTCAGTATGCCGCATGACTTCTTCCTTCGCTTCGTGTATCTCACCACGCAGCATGTTCGTCTGGTTGTCCAGCGCGTCCATGACCTTGGTGTTGTGATGAAAAAGTTGTACAACTGATTTTGTTGTGCCAAACGCTTAACTGATTGCTTGACACTGGTTTAAGTGAATATCTGCTGTTGTAGGTGTTCTTGATGCAATTGATCCTTCAATCATAATATTATTATCTTCAATCTCAATATTTTTTGATTGGTTTACCATCAATTTTGCTCGTTTTCTTGGTGGTTCACTTATATCATTCATATCATCAAAGTTCACGCAGTTGCTGAGGATGCTGCAAGTCAACAGCATACATCAAGACAGGTCAGAGTTTGGGCAGCTCTGAAGTACTCTGAAGTAAGACAGCATTCCAAAAAGTACCCGAAAGACCTCTGCATGCAGTTCGTCCAGCTTTGCATCGGTCTGTGCGTGCAAAAACTCGTTTTGGGCAAGGCCAACAGTGGCAATCATCTCTCCCGCGTCGCAAATCTTCCCCCCGGCAACTTTGCACAGAGTCTCGGCGACGCCATTGTGCTCATTGTGAAATGCTGTGGAGACATCATTCCATTTCGTCCAAGCCTCCCAGCATTCTGCTGGCACTGAAACCTGTTGGCAAACTGCGCACTGGCTTGCCGTATCAAAACTAGTCCGAGATCGGCATCTGTTGTATGAGTGGTCTGCCACGTGGCTGCAGTACAAGTCCTTGCTGAGCTCAATTTGTTTGGCTTTATTTCGGTCTCTGAGAGTTTCCATGACCTCGATCAGGGCCTTTATCTGCAACTTCGTTGTGCTGGCCGCAGCCCCGAAGACTTTTGCAACCGCACCTTCAGCAGTGCCTTCAGCAGGCTGGTGATCCACAAATGCAGTTTCTGCTTTCGGCATCATGGAAGATGCCGTGTCAAGTCTACCTGTGTGCTCCTGGACTAGATCCTGGAAGAGAGTCGCTTTCACAGCAGTAGCCTCCTTGGTACGGTTGTGAAGCTCCGCGCCCCAATCATCAGCTGCCTCCCCTGCAATCGTATCCTCAAAAAGACGTGCCGACCCAGTGCAGGTGTCCGTCTCAAGCTCGCCCTGAGCTTTGCACTGCGTTGCCTCGTACATGCTCGCACGCTCACATTCGGGCACAGCGTACGCATTCTCAACGATGTGCTCGTCCAGAAGAAATGGGCAAATCGCCTGCAAGGTGTACTGCTGGTGCGACTTCAAGTCTTCATAACCTTCGTGGTTCTCACCGTACACGGGGCGTTTTCCATAGCAGCTTGCCTCCTTGCCGTCGACGTCGTAGCTTCCTTGCACCAGCGCGTACAGGCTGCATCCTCGAGTCAGTGCAATGCCAGAGGAAGCAATCGATTCATGACTGGGTACACTAGGTCTTCAGCATGTAGGGTTTAGAGTCACATAAGCGCAGTTGGCCAAAAGAGAACCTTTCGATGTCGTTCAGCTCTGCTTTATTGCAAAGTTTGAGGTGACAGAAAGCATGTCTGCGTTTCACCCTAGCAAATTTCCAAAACGAACAAGCAGAAGCGACCCTCAACTGTTGGCTGACCAACTTGAAAGCCTAAGGGTCAACTCTTGAACGTGCGCGTTAGCAATGGCACGCACAGCACGACAAGCAGAATCAATCAAGCAAGAACATGTCAACACTACAGGGTGGCGCAAGCACACAACTAGACACACAGCCAGGCGTGGTTTGGCTTCAACACGGGCCACTTGCAATAAGGCCTCGTCAACAAATGGAGATTTGCAGAATGTTGACATCTTGCGTTTGCAACGTTACGGCGCTAGGTCATCGTCTGATTCAAACTTACTTGTGGAGGCCCTCTGGTACATATTTTGGCGGTTTGCGTAAACCACCGTGCCGAGTAAAGTACCTCAACTTCAGGGAGACTACCCTTTAGGTGTCCCTGACAGCATACAACAGCATAGGCTGCCGCCACGAGGCCTGAGTCACCGCCAGTACAAACCACGAAGCGGCAATGCGGCCTCAGAGCTATCGCAAACAAAAAAAACCTCCAACCTGCTTCCAGAAGCCCTCTCTGTAAAAGAAGAGGGAAAAATGCAAGCAAAGGGAGCTTGGAGCTTTTCAAGGTTAAGGTTCAGGTGGGCTTTAGCTTAGTATTTGTGCCTTAGGGCTTGAGGCCGTGCTGCAACACGCTGCATCTTGCCTTGGCTTTTATCAAATCCAGGTCGTCATGCTCACCGGAAATGCTCAGGGACGCCTCTGCTCAGAGCTAAGCTGACAATCATGCAGAGCAGAAATCATTGGGGTACTTACACTGGTATGAGCAGCACTACACATCTGGGTACGAGAACTGGTGCACCCGTGTGCAAGCACGAAAGACTCTTGCTCGTGCTATGGTGCCGTGCTGAGAGTAATTCCTGCTGCTATTGTACGGCGTACCGACAATACTTTGCTCCAACCTCTGCTGCTAATCTGCGACTACTGTTCTGCTTAGTTCCCCTTTCCGACATTCTGAAAGCTACTAGCACTAAGCATGCCATGGCGACTAGCCGCGATACTTCACCCCGTGTCTGAATGGCTGGGGACATGCCGTAACGACTGCAGTGACAGCAGGCCCGTGATCAGTGAAGTACATTCACAGAAAGAGTGGCAGGACATGTTTGAAAGGATGGGCAATACCACCTGCATTAACAGCATGATGAGCTACGCACAAAGGCAGTCGAAATCATTGGAGTGTTACACCCTCTCTTTGCAAGAATACCTGCCTCAACATCGCACTTCTCACCAATGCCCCATGAAGTCTGCACACACGTGTTCTCCTCAGCTTGAAGATTTCTACAAGTGCGCTGCAAGTGTGCATCTTGACATGAGGCCACCGAAACTTAAAATCTATGACTAAAGAGCCAGTTCTCGTAGCTGCATTTGGCTTTCGTTGAAAAGCCGAGATCTGTTGCAAGCGCAGCCCACAGTGAATCCTTTGCCTGCCTGCGAAACTCTTGGAGGTATTGCTCTACCTTCGCCACCTTTTCGTTGTCCGTGGTGGATTCTCTGGCAGATGCCAAAATGACCTTCTCATGGAAAACTTGCCAACGCAGCTGGCAATCGTCAAAAAGAAGGTCGTCCAAGAAGGTGTCTGCCCCAGACAAGCGTTCTGATCGTGCTTTCAGATTCTCATAGCCTCAAGCAGTTCGAAAATGATAGAGACCGATGATGCACTACGATTGCGATCACATAATCTTATTCTTGGGAACATGGAAAAAGCAGTACCGAGTTAGGTCCAGAGCTGGTCTGCCAGTCCGCCGGCATCTTCTCGAGGCCGTGCCAGGTCTGAGCCTTCTCCGCGATCTTGAAAGCAACCTGCTCCAGACTAGTTGCTTGCCACCGCTGAAGCTCATTCCAGGCATGGTAGACACTCTGCTGCATGGCGCCGACGAAGAGGGCCGCTGCGTTGTAGTATTGGATTTCCAAAGGTGCGCGACAAGTTGGAATCGCTGTCGGACTTTCGAAAGAGTTGAGTTCTGAAATATCCTTTTCCCCCTCAGCACGTGCTCCCGAAGTTGCGGACATCTGGATCAGCTCGATGGGAGGTGTGTCTGGCTTTTGTAGCTCCCCACTCCGCTGACTCAGGGCCAAGTTCTTCTTCTTCGGCAGTGGCCTTTCGAGGTCCCGGATGGATGGGTCTTCGTGGACATACCGGCACATAGGGTGCCAGAGAGGAGCTTTCGCCTCCTGTGGCTTTGTGGCTTGCTCTTGAAGCCCTTGGCCTTGCAGCATAGAGGCGCCCTTTGGAAGAATTGGAAGCCTTGAGGTTTGAGTGGCTTGTGGAACGGTTTGAACTCGCGAGTCTGCGCATTCCTCGGAGCGCCACCGTGCTACCAAGGCCGGCAGCACCATCTCCGTGCCCGACAACATGGCCGACTGGAGCCGGGCTGCGGACTCCTCGGCAACCTCGGAGGGCGAAAAACACGGGGCTCGGCTTCCGAATGCGAGGGGCCTAGGTGATTCGAAAGACAGTTGCCGGTCAGTTGAGCTTTGTTTCGTCTTGAGGTTATTTACAAGTGTCCAGCCTCCAGATCTGGAGGATGGCCCATTCCGCTCCACTCATACCTGTCCTGCAACATTACAAGCTCCCAGAAGAGTGTGGCCAGTTGCCGCTGCGTTTGCCCACTGAAGCCAGACGTCAAAGCATGCCCTAGCCTATCCTGCAAAATGAGCAGGCCAGTTGTGGCGTTGGCGCAGAAGGCCAAACTTTCGCGCGGTGTCATGCTCTGTAAGATGGTTCCACGCATCGCCTCGAGGTCCTGCAGAACAAGTTTGGTGAAGAGGCCACCATCCTGAATCTGCGAAGCCATGTTGCCCAGCAGCGACACCACAGAGGTCCACGTCTTTGTGAGAAGCTGGTGGGCCTTCTGCTGCGCTCGTGCGGAGGAACCGTAAGCAGCCTTCAGCTGCGCGAAGCTGGCTCGGCAAGCAGCTGTGTAGCTTTGAAGCACGTTGCTGGCCCCGCGCATGGCAGAGATGTGCTCGTCAGCTGCCTCCGGGGCTCAAGACAAAACCCAAAGAAAAAACTGCCAACAAGATTGCTCAGGCGGCTCGGCTTCGAGCCTGAAGGTACTCATCCAGGTGCCTCCGAACATTCCACCACATGGCATCAAAGAGCCTCATGGCCTCCTGCGCTTCCTGCACGGTCTGATGCTCCAGCAAATGCAACACCGAGAAGTTGCCAACACCGACCATCAGGACTTGTTGTTCCAGCTTTCGTGCTGCAGCAGTCTGCTGGTAGATGCCCAGTGCTTGGGCTTTCATTTCCAAGAGCCTATTGGTGGCAGCTGCTGTCTGCAAGGCCTCATGCTCGATCTCCTCCTCATGCGAAAGCCTTTGGCCGCCAAGCAATGCCACTGCCCTGTGCACATGCTGGAGGTCCTCTTCCATTGCCTTCAAGGGGAGTTCCCTTGTCGTGTTCCATCCTTCAGGTCCTCCAAGTGACACATGCACTGTGGTGTGGTCAACTAGGACGGCTAGGAGGGCTTAACACCCAGCAGACCCATTTCTGCCCCAAGTGCAGGGTCCTCGTCTCTTTTGGGTGGAAATGATTTCGTTTCAAGCTTCTAGGAGATGTTAAAAGAAGCCTCCACGATCGAGATTTGAAGCATAAGCATGTGTCAGAATCTACACCTTGTGCAAGCGAACATGTGCAAACCTCTTAGCGTCAGCTCGCGCTCAAGGCCGGGTATACGGTATACGGTATACGCATCCCCTTCTTCACCCAAATAGTGCTAGCTGAGCCCCCTGACCCAAGAACTCAGAAGCCTAATGATTTTTCGGTTGAGGGTCCTGCAGCAGCTGCTGCGCCTTCCCAGCGAGCCGTGAAGCTCCGGATGACACGTTGAGCTGCAACGGAAGAACGCGGTTCCAGGCGCCCCTGTACCAGAGCGTGTTGCAGCAGAAAACTTGCTTTGAAGCTGATTAGCAAAGATGTCCACGCAATCATCAGAAGGGACACAGCCAACAGCACACAATGCTTGAGCGCTGCTCGGACCCAGCCCCACCCTTTGGAATCTGATCTACGGCCTACGGCCCTGCGGGAGCCTCACGAGCGATAGCCGCCATCTCCAGCAAGCTTTGATGAATACTGCGCTTTATTTGCTGGCTCTCTTGAACCAGTCCGGCGCTTCCGGAGCTTGATTCCGTCTTGATTAACCCCACCTTAGACCGCTGGCATGCGCCCGCGTGCAGTGAGATACCTAGTTGACTTAGTTCATGGCATCCTCGGAAGTACGAAGTGCAGCAGCCATCACGGTGAGAACATGATACTGAAAGACAGGCGAGCCACATAGTGCTCCAGGAGTAGCTGCGTGTTTTGGCCCACGACGTCCACCGCACCCTCGATGGCGCGGAGAATGGCGTTGTCACCCTTCCTGCCAATCGAGAAAGGGCTGCCGCTAGTACCACACACACGAGCAGAAGCAGAAGCCAGGCACAACCCTAACATCCGGTAACATCCGGTCCTCACCGAGTCTCTGATACAGTGCAGGTCACAGAAGACCCGAGCAAAACCGAGCTCCGCCGGCTGGCAGGAGTTTTTCTTCTCCTCAGCTGCCTTGTTTTTCTTCGTCATTTTGTCCACCTTGATCTTGGTCGCCTTTATCTGCTCCGCGACGTTGCCTGCCATAGTCAGCTCATGTCAGCTCTCCATGCCTGATCCGTGCCGCAACATCCCGCGAAGTGCTGCACTGCCAGGCCTATCGTCTTTGTTATCTCGCCAACTTTGGTTTGGATTCCAGCACCAAAAGGTGCCGCAACCATATCCGGCACAGCTGCGCTAATTTTCGCAGCCAGCCGAAACGCTCCAGGAATTGCTTTCATCTTGTTGAAAAAGAGCTGTCGGCCAGGCTGGGATGATCGTGATGCATGGGCTACGATGGAGTAAGTTACAAGCTCAGGCAAGTCTCTACAGATTCCAGCAACCAAACCACACCTTGGCGTTCTTTGCCAGATTGAGTTCTCGTTCGCCTTCCTCGTCGGCACCTTGGATACCGCTCAGAATCGCACAGTTTGCAGTGCTGCGCAGCGACATCCAATGATTGGTGCGCTTTCAGCTTCAGGGTCTTGTCAGTTCCTGTAGGGCAATGTAGGGGATATGGATGCTTAGACAAACACAATAGAACAATGAACAGGAAAATCGGGACCGGCATCGAGCGCATCTTGGACTTGCTTTTGAACCTGCAACTCTCGTTATCCTGAGCTCGCCAAGGAGCATTCCTTCACGTCTTTGTAGGAGACGCCTTGCAACCCAGAAAAGGTTGATGGAATGAATGCCACAGCTTTCACGGCCTACACCAGAAGGCGCGCGCGCGCGCCTGGCTGGGAGGGCTCGCCCTTGATAGCTTTCCAGAAGCCCATACCCTCCACCTCTTTCAAGTCCTTGTCTTTTGGTGGCTTGCCATAAACGTACCTGGCCAACACTGAAGGTGCGCACATCTCTCTCGATGAGCGGCAGACTCGGGTCACTTGCATGGGTTCTCGTCGTCGAGTCCTTCCGCAACTTCGTTCATCTTGTTGCGGTTAAAGTCCGCTGACCCAGGATGCGACTCATCCTGCAAGCCCACATGCATCAACATACTGCAGGCAAGAGAAGCTTGCCACAGATTAAAAGCCTGGGTCCTTGCACTCTTCCGCATACTCAGGGTCTTCAGCTCCGAACTTGATGAGAGTAGGAGGCTCTGGCTTTGCGCCCGCGAGCCTTGCAGCGTTCGGCTTAGCGCCTCGGGCCTCGAAGACGGCATCAAAATCGCTGACCGCCACGACACGCCATTGATGGTTCCCCAAGGAGGCATCCAAAGGGTGAACGGCCTTGGCTTTACCAACTCGTGAAGTTCATCCCAACTTATTTGTATGTGTACTTCTACAGTACTCCTTTGTATAATTACATGTGCCTCTTCAGGTTACCATGTTCCCTGTGCTGGGCAAGGCCAAGGCCAAGGGGCATCCGAGCTGGCACAGGAAACGCCGGAGAGGCACCACCGGCCCTTGTGCTTGTCGTAGCTGAACAATTCTTCTGTAGAGGCCCCAGGCTGGAAGGTCTTGAACTGCTGGAAGGCCATACGACCCGAGTCATCCAGGGTTCTTGGGCAATAGATGCCTGCATAGCAGTAGCTCTGGGCTCATTTAGATGACGTTACAGCGCTACAGCCCGCAGACCTTCCCAGTTCTTGGCCACGCCCCCATCCAGACTACCCTGAGGCACCACGGCCATTGGAACTTGGTTGACCTGGCAGCAGTCCTCAGCAATCCGGCAAGCTGCCTAGTATCCTCTGCCTGACTTCACGTGCGTCTGTAAGATGTGTACTATCTAGCAACAAAATACGGAAACATCCATTCTTTTGATCGGTGCACATGCCAGCCTGGGCCCTACAGTAGTAGTCTCCTAGTCTCCTCAAGACGTAACTACATCCGAATGGGGCCTTGCTCACTATCAACTACCGTAAGGGGGGGCGGCGGGGGGGGGTGGGGGGTAACTTCATTTACGTAGTGTAAGACTGCAGACAGAGCTGCGAATTTGAAACGCATGGAAGTGCCGGCCATCTCTGGTTCGACCGATCTCAAGCCAAAGTCCGGGGGGCAGGCGGCCACCAAACCCTCCACCTCGGAATCTCATGCATTGGGTAGGATATGTAGGATACCCCACCATACCCTCGACATATCCAGATGCTAACCCTTTCCACAACCCACCCCGAGGCAGCCGTTTGAACAAGGAGAATAGGCGGAGGCTAGTTGGTTTATTCTAACGGTTAAAACGATTAGTGAGCAAGTTTGTTCCAGGAGTTTAAACTACTCTTTAAACTAGTTTAAAAGTTTATTCCAAGAGTTTAAACTCTTGCTAACCCGAGAGGAGATAGGGGGGGGGGGGGGGGGGCTGGGGGGGGGAAACTATTATCTAAATTATTTAAATTATTTAAATTATTTAAACTATTTAAATTATTTAAATTATTTATTTTTTTACATTATTTAAACTATTTAAATTTTTCAAATTATTCAAATTGTTTAAATTATTCAAATTATTTAAATTATTGAAATTATTTAAATTATTTAAATTATTTAAATTATTGAATTTATTTAATTTGTTGAATTATTTTAAGTATTTACATTATATAAAATATTTAAATTACCCCTTTCCCAGAGGGATGCGGCTGAAATACGGTTTATTTGGAAGCTGGGGCTGGGGTTTTTGGCTACCGAATTTTAAAAAGAGAGCCAGGTTCCGAATAGACCCTGTGGGGGCTTCTTGGTGGGGGGGGGGGAAGGAAAAATTTAAACAATTTAAACAATTTACATGATTTTCGGGCCTCCAATATTGAAATTCTTTAAATTATTTAATCGAGCCTCCACAAAGGCGCGGCTCGATTTGGCCAAATTTTGCATGGCAGTCTGCGGGCAAAATTTGGCCAAATCGGGCTGCTCGTCGTACGCGATGAGAAATGCACGGCTCGATTTGGCCAAATTTTGCCGGGCAGCCTCATACGAAGAGCAGCCCGATTTGGCCAAATTTTGCCCGAAGGCTGCCCGGCAAAATTTGGCCAAATCGAGCCGCGTATTTCTCATCGCATACGAAAAGCAGCCCGATTTGGCCAAATTTTGGGCGAAGGCTGCCTGGCAAAAATTTGCCCAAATCGAGCCGCGCTTTTCTCATCGCCTACGAAGAGCAGCCCGGTTTGGCCAAATTTTGCCCGAAAGCTGCCCGGCAAAATTTGGCCAAATCGAGCCGCGCCTTTCTCATCGCCTACGAAGAGCAGCCCGATTTGGCCAAACTTTGCCCGCAGACTGCCCAGCAAAATTTGGCCAAATCGAGCCGCGCCCTTCTCATCGCGTACGACGAGCAGCCCGATTTGGCCAAATTTTGCCCGCAGACTGTCCGGCTAAATTTGGCCAAATCGAGCCGCACGTTTCCCATTGTTGGGCCCTTTGGGGCCGTTTTTTTGGGGCCAAATTGTGCCAAAAGGGCAAATGTTGCCCAAAATTAGCCAATGGAGAAAAACAAAGAGCCCACTTCATTTGAACTTTATAAACTTTATAAGTAGCTTTATATAATTCTTTTACCCCCCCCCCCCCCCCCCAGCCCTCCTCCACCTTTCGTGCCCTCTACCTCAAAAACGAAAGCTTGTACTTGTACTTGTACTTGTAATGTACTCTGATAGGCGCAGAGTGTGCCTAGGTCACTTGAGAAGTTTTGAGTGGCGCAGCAAACCCAGCTGATGCTCATGATTTCTCTCTCCCTATATATGGGCGATGGAACGGGTGTCCTTTTTGATCAGTTTCTGCATCTTCAAGGGAGAAAAAGGACCCCCTCCCCAAGAAGGAAAAGTAACATAAGAGATAGGGAGGGACATTGAAGAGCTCCTTTCTTTACTTAGTCATTCCCTGTCCTCTCTTCTTATCCGTTGTTTTTTTTCGTCGCTTCAAGAAGCAAAATAAGGGAAAGGCGATTTCCTGAAGAGGAGGAGGGCACCTATCTGTGAATAGCAAGATTGGTTTTTTCTAATTAGGGAGAGACAAGGGAGATATATAAAGCTTTGCGACAAGTCTTGTCACTCCGTCTTTTTGCTTCCTGTCTGTTCTATTCCTTGCAGAGATAAGGGAGAGAGGATAGATAAAGAAGAGTGCTTCCTTGCACCTTGTTTTGTCTCTCCCTCTCCTGTATTCATCTCTCTTCTATTCTTTTCTTGGCTCTTACCATTAAAATTGTGTTCCTTTTATCGCTCCTCTCTCTTTCCTTCTCTTCTCCTGTTCCCCTTTAAATGACAAAAACGCAATAAAGGAAGAACAAGATGGGAATGGAGGCCCTGTTCCTTTCTTCTCCTGTTTCAATGGATGGGGAAAGTGAGCGGGGTTGGCTCCTTGCCCGTAGACCCTCCCCATGCTTCAGCAAATCCCTCCTCTCGCCCTATCGCCTCTGTTCTTTTCCTTGTTCCCAAACGGAAAAAGTGAACGGGTTCCTGAAGAGGAGAGAGGGCACCTCATTTTTAATTATAGAGGGAAAACGGAGAGACAAGGAAGGGAGAGATCTCACTTCTCTTTCCCTTCTCTCCTTCTGTTTCCGTTTAACTGATAAACCACAAGCAAGGAACTTGTATGATAAGGCAGTGGAAGGGCAAGCAGAGGGTGACTCCTTGCACGTGGACCTTGCCATACTTCATCATATCCCTCTTCTCGGCCTATCTCTTCTGCTCTTTTCCTTACCCTTCTCCTTTTCATAATTCTTCCTGTTTAGTATTTCCTATTTCGCAAAGAAGAGGGAAGGGAGAGATAAGGGAGAGGGGATAGATTAAGAAGAGTGCCATCTTCTCTGCGCCTTGTTTTGTCTCTCCCTCTCCTGTATTCATCTCTCTTCTATTCTTTTCTTGGCTCTTCCCATTAAAATTGTGTTCCTTTTATCGCTCCTCTCTCCTTCGCTGTCCCTTCTCTTCTCCTGTTCCCCTTTATATGACAAGAGCACAAGAAAGGAAGAACAAGAGGGGAATGGAGGCCCTTTTCCTGTCTTCTCCTGTTGCAATGAATAAGGCAAAGAGCATGGGAGATAAGGAAGGGAATTGAAGAGTAAATGGGCGATGGAACGGGTGTCCTTTTTGATCAGTTTCTGCATCTTCAAGGGAGAAAAAAGGACCCCCCCCTCCAAGAAGGAAAAGTAACATAAGAGAAGGGAGGGACATTGAAGAGCTCCTCTCCTTACCTAGTCATTCCCTGTCCTCTCTTCTTATCTGTTGGTTTTTTTAGTCGCTTCAAAAAGCAAAATCAGGGAAAGGCGATATTTTGAAGAGGAAGAAGGGCACCTATCTGTGAAGAGCAAGATTGGTTGTTTCTAATTAAGGAGAGACTTGCCCCGCCTGAGCCTCCCTGGCCTGCTTGTTGTGGCCACATTCCGGTGCAGTTGCGCTTCCAGAAAATGGCATCCTTGTTATCTCTCCCTCTCATCTCTCCTTTCTCTCTCCCTTCCCTTCTCTTGTTCTCCTTTCAATCTCAAAGACACACAAAAGGAAGCTTCTTTTCCTTATTGAATGAAAGAGAAAAAGAAGAAAATAAATAGGGAAAGACACTGAAGAGCTCCACTGCCTATTGTTTCATTCCCTTTCCTCTCTTCTATGTGTTGTTTTCCTTGTCGTTTCAGAAAGCAAGCAAACTACGGGCAAGGGGGCTTCCTGAAGAGGAGAGAGATCTGCGAAGAGCAAGAATAGTCTTGTCTTTTCAATTATAGAGGGAAACGGGAGAGACAAGGAAGGGAGAGATGATAGATAAAGAAGAGTGCCATCCGTCTCCTTGTTTCTTGTCTCTTCTCTTCTTTTCAATACCCTTCCAGAAAATCAAAATGGCCTCCTTGTTGTCTCTCCTCTCTCACTTCTCTGTCCCTTCTCTCTTTCTGTTTCCTCTTATCTGATAAACCACAAGAAAGGAACTTGTATGATAAAGCAGTGGAAGGGTAAGCAGAGGGTGACTCCTTGCGCGTGGACCTTGCCATATTTCATCATATCCCTCTTTTCGGCCTGTCTCTTCTGCTCTTTTCCTTACCCTTCTCCTTTTCATATTTCTTCCTTTTGTTTTTCTTATTTCGATAAGAAAGAGGGAAGGGATAGATAAGGAAGAGAGGATAGATAAAGAAGAGTGCCATCTTCTTTGAGCCTTGTTTTGTCTCTCCCTCTCCTTTATTCATCTCTCTTCCGTTCTTTTCTTGGCCCTTCCCATTAAAATTGTGTTCCTTTTATCGCTCCTCTCTCCTTCTCTTTCCCTTCTCTTCTCCTGTTCCCTTTAAATGACAAAAACACAAGAAAGGAAGAACAAGAGGGGAATGGAGGCCCTTTTCCTGTCTTCTCCTGTTGCAATGAATAAGGAAAAGAGCATAGGAGATAAGGAAGGGAATTGAAGAGCTCCTTTCGCTACTTTCTCATCCCTTTCCTTTCTATCTACCACACCGAAAAACGACTCTCAGCTTCCAAATAAACCCTATTTAAACCACCCACGGGGGGGGGGGGGGGTGGTTGGGGGGGGGGGGGGGGGGGGGCAGCGACCCTATTTGCAAACACCTTTCTTTCTCTCACATCCTTTACTTTCTTTC